AACTAATACATTATTAGCGGGTTAAACATGCTTTTCAAAAATTAGTTTACAATGGTTGTTATCAATAATTTACGGCCAGTATGAATTAATTTAGTCACACGGCTTTTTAATTCCTGCCTCAAAGCTATACCAATTCCTATCTTTGAATGAAGTGAGGGAGAGGAAAGAAAACAGGAGCACATGCACTTAGGGCCTAGGTAAGAGGACGCAAAAATGGGGGACTTACGGTATGGTGAGCATGTTAACGAAAAAATTATTCAGTGACACTTGTGAAAGCACAGTAAGGAAGGTGTTATTCAGGACCATCGTGTTAGGATAGGGACCACTGCAACAGAGTTTGCAAAAGGGCAGAGAGACTGGGATTGACTCTGAATACAGCAAGGGTAAGTGGAAATTTATAGCCAAGAAGCAGGGTTGGAGTGGTGGTCACTGGATGGGAAATTTCTACAAGACAACATCAGGAGTAAGGCTAAACTACCCCACAGGATTCTTGCTGAAGACAGATCTGGGTGATGAGACATCACCTGTGGAAGGTGGAGTATGAGGCACCGGATCAGATGTCAAGAGTGACCAGCTATCAAGGGTGAGGGCTCTTGCTAAACCGACCTGGTGGGGTTCTTTGCTAAAACTGGGTTGTACAAGGAAGTGCACAGATGGGCCTAGAAGAAGGTTGAATAGCCTGACTAAAGTTTGGCCAGGCAAAGAATGTTTGTCATGTGCATAGGAGGCCAGAAGGGAGTGACACAGATAATGAAAAATAAGCAAAAGGCAGGCAAAAAACCAATGAACCAACCAAAAAGAACCAGACACAGGTATCTACTTAAGAAATTTGTTTGAAACATCTGTGGCCCAAGAATAAGGCAAGAAAAAAAACAACAAAAGCAGATTTTTCCTTACGGACCCAAAATATGGACTGCTATTACCCTGGTTCAGTCATCTCATGGACTACAAATTACTCCAAAATAAAAATGTTACTAAAAATAGCTTTCTTACCATTAAGTCCGATGGAAGCACTTTAGGAAGATGTGCCATTTTTATCCCAGGGCATGTGCCCTGAGGCACTGCGCACTCCAGCTTGAGATGTATACCAACTGATGTGCTGGACCCACGGGGAACACCAGGCCAGTTTCAGAACCAGGAATACCTGTGCTCTGTCTGACACCATGTCTCACATATGTGATGTTCTCATCACTACATTGGCCACTAGGAAGTTCAGAGTCAAACTGAGGTCAGCCCTAGAAAAGCAGGATATTATATTGTTAACTGGCATGTTTCCTGCACAACAAGTTGTTGCTTGTTTTTCCTATCCTTTTAGTATTTATCATCCCCATTCTCCTCTCCCATATTAACAAAAAAAAATGTGAGCCATCTTAAAATCCTTTTTATAATGAGGAAGGGCAAAAATAATAAATATGCATATTGACATTTGCTTGGAAGCCTAGAATATAAATTCAAGGCACTAGCTCTTTATTCTGGTTAGACATCAAATCACAATTAAATCTTCCTCAAATTCTCTGTTGTCCTGGTAACTGCTCTCTACTTAGAGAACATGGAGGGCTTGCCCAAAAGGGTCTGGAAGGAGAGCAAGAGCTTATTAAGGAATTCTTTCTGATGTTCGTAACCACACAACAAGCTGTGCCAGAATGACAGCGCGGAGCTGGAGAAAAGCCCTCCTTCAGGTTATCCCAATTGCTGTGATATATTTTAGGCTCTGCTGCCGTTAAATGGCTATGTACATTATAATAATAAGATTGGCCATGGCACACCAAAAACATTGACAATAAATAGTATTTTGGATAATCAGATTGCAAATCCTCTTAAACACATTTGACTCTAACAGCTATATTTAGACTTAGATGAACAGTGGCTGGGGGATTTTAAGTGTCAATTGGTGTGAATGAATAAAGATGGTTTTAAAGGAGTTATATTGCTAAGGGATTAAGGCCAACTGGAACAATTCACTTACAAAAAAAAAAAAAAAACCCCCAGGAGTGCAGCTCGCATGTATTTGATTGAGGCAGATGCACTTTAATCCTTAGGACTTGTATTGCTAGTCCTGGGATGGTTCATCTCTCTCCATTTGTACAAAGCAGAGTGAGTTTTAACAGCATAAATGAGATCCTGCAACTCCTGTAAGTGAGACAATGTTTGCAGCAACAACAAAGAGGGAAAAAAAATTTAAGTAGCAGTCATTTTTATTTTGGCTTAACAGATTTTCAGCAGGAAGACTCTGAATATGAATCGGCTTCATTTTTAAATCCCGAAGAAAATTTCTGAAGCAGCCCATAAGGTGCCACTTTAGTCAGAGGCAATTTAAAAAAGCCTAGAATAGCAAGAAAGAAAATCACCAAATTTGTTTGGACATTGTAGGGGGGAAAAAGTTACAAATTATATTAACTCCATTCTCACATCCTCCCTGAGTCTATTTGCTTTTAAACTCCTAAAACTCTTCCATTTTTGGAAGTAGGAATGGGGCAGGAGGCATGGTGTAAATAGTAAGAAAAACTTACATTAAGGTATTAATTCCAACAATGGGATTGTGATAAGCACTTAATAAAGAGAATGGTGCAGACTTTCTTCCAATAGGCAAGTGATTCTTCTCAAGGGTCAAATTCCACTCTCATTGATAATTTGAGCATTGCTAGAAAAAGTAAACACTTACTAGAACTCCTCTCTGGGTCTTTGTTTTCATGGTCCTTAAGGACCACTGAAGAAGGCATTTCCAAACTTAAATTTCTGACAATACATAGCAACCTTAAGAATCCTGGAAACTACTAGAAACGCAGTTTCTCTAAGTGAAATATCAACAAAGGACATGTAGCTACTTGGATTTCCTGCAGGTACCACTTTTAAAATGGGCTTCACCATATTCTTCTAGCCGGTAAGCAAGCTACTTAATGATGCATAAAACTAATTATTATAAGACTGAATCTGTTTGGTAGCTGTTCACAATGTAGAAAATCACACTTTTTCATGGCCTATTTTCTTTTAAAATGTGTGCCCCTTTCCCATCCTTAATGGGTTCTGTATATGTAAAATAAATACTCTTCGCAGCAGGACCCTGGCTTGGGGGCCTTAAAACCCAATAAAAGAGTCCTGTAGTTTAATGGTCCTTAAATGCTCAACATCTTTTTCACTTAATGTAAAATCCATCTGATCTAATAGCTGTGACTGAATTATAGATATATAATTTTTTTCTATTAAATGTTAATCTTCTGACTTGGCAGAGCAATAGACGCTCTAAATTATTAAGAAGGCAATAACCTCTCTAAACTCTTTCCAGAATTCAGAATATTCCCATGACTGCTATCTTGAAAAAAACTGAAAACTTGCTTAAAATATAAAAGTCAGGCCAGGCGTGGTGACTCATGCCTGTAATCCCAGCACTTTGGGAGGCTGAGGTGGGTGGATCACCTGAGGTCAGGAGTTCGAGACCAGCCTGACCAACATAGTGAAATCCCCGTCTCTACTAAAAACACAAAATTAGCCAGGCATGGTGGTGCATGCCTGTAATCCCAGCTACTTGGGAGGCTGAGGCAGGGGAATCACTTGAACCCTGGAGGCGGAAATTGCAGTGAGATGAGCCTGAACCACTTTAGCCTATGCAACAAGAGTGGAAAAAAAAAAAATCAGGCGTATTAAGTATAATTTGATGCCAAATATCAATTATAACGGGCATTGTTTTTACTGATGTCTCTTCCATTATTTTAACTGAATGGAATATATATACATATAAATTAGACTGAATTATATATATATATGAACTGGAGAAGCAACCCTCACAAGTCTTGCTCTTTTTCATTTACATATGACATTTTTGTAACCTTCTCTTTTTGGTTGAATTCATTCATCACCGATGTTTGTTCATGCAGGCATAAATAATGAAAATGCCTCTAATATATAAGTGATGTCACATGCCCAATTATGCTGAACACAAGCACCCTCACTGCCCAGGGAGTCTGTTGGAATGCCACTGCTGATATAGCTTGATCTTTAAAAAAAAAAAAAAAAATCTGTACTTTCATTACTCACTTGAGCCCAAAGGTCAATATATTAATAATCAGAAACTATGCTAAGAAGCAGGTTAATATTTACCTGGAGAGGCTGGTCTAAATGGTCCTGTTTCAAATAGCTAAGACCAAAACATGGGGAAGAACTGAATTTCCAGCAACAGTCTCAGGTTCAGTTTCCAGTTTAGCTGGGAACAACACTGAATGAAATGACAGTTGAAATGTCTATACTAATTTTCATTTTGTATTTTGTGCACAATCTATTTTATGGTGCAAATTCTGCCTTTACTCATCTAGTGCTTTTTATCCTCCCTCTGAACTTATTCATAAAACTTATGGGCCAGGGGTAAGATCTAGGTCAGCCACATCTTCCATGTTCATCACAGGCATTCTCTTTCAACCCGTATTTTGGTGCCAGAGGTGCTACCATTACTTTGGTGCACAGAACCAACAAGAAGAGAAAAGATCACAAGGTTGCAGAATCCAGTGATGAGGAAAACAGAGGCAATAAGAAGTAACTGTCTTCTATCATGGTGAAGCAGATGTCAAAAGAAGCTTGTAACCACTGCTAAGGTCCGGCACTCCTGCAAGCAGGCACTGACGTATCTAGTCACCATGAACACCAAAAATTAACTTGAAACTCTTCCCTTTTTTACTTTGAAACAAGTCGGTCAAAGACATGAACATTCAGGTAGGGTAACAAGCACATGTGTGAGAACAGTTTTTAGGTGCTAGTCAGAGGAAAGCTGGTAACACTGGAGAAAAAAAATGCTCATGTTCTGAAGCTGCAAGGTTTTTAAAGCAGCAATGAGCCAATGCATTTATAGAAGAGTAGAAAATTGTAAACTATAAAATTTGGTTGGGGTCAAGAGAAAAGGTTCAACTAAAAAACCATAAAAAAGACAGAGCTAAATTCATCTGGAATTCTGGAACACTGCTGATACAGTTAAGTGATTATAGTCACCATAATATTAAAATTTAAGATGTTCAATGCATGAATATTTGATTTTATTTCAATAGACAATTATTTATAACACTGACCCTCTATCAAAAAGAATATGCTTTTCTGATGGGGAAGTGACAAAAAAAAAATCTACACAGAACAAGAGTAATAAAGCTTTCAAGTAAGGATTGCACTCCAATAGGAATTGAGTGATTCTCTGAGAGAGCACTCACGACATCTTAGACAACATCACTCTTCTTTCCTCTTGGCCAAATGTTCAGGTCTCATAGTCTTTCTGAACACGGAATGGCAGTGGCCAGCATTGACCATTACCTATGTTCCACTTGTTTACTAATTAAAAAGCTTTAGTTTTCAGTGTTGTAAATGCTATTTCTACTTTCAATATCAAAAGGTGAGTGAATGAGACAAGATTAGTTGAAGGAGGTACTTGATATTTTACTTCAGACCGCTGAAGGAAAATGGGTATTCTCATTTGTACTCTGGAGCCCATCGTTTCCCACTCCCAATGCCCTCACAGACAGTAAATAAACTAGTTTAACTTGCAAATCTTTTTACAAGGATGTTCAAAACAATATTCTAGAGAAAACTTTATTAATGGTTGAAAACAAAATAAAATACACATAATGTTCCCTTCCCATCTCTAATGTGGAAAATAAAACACTTAACATAAATATTCAGTTTAAAACTGTGCTCTATTGTAGAGCTTTTATTTTATTTATTTTATTTTATTTTGAGATGGAGTCTCGCTGTTGCTCAAGCTGGAGTGCAGTGGCGTGATCTTGGCTCACCGCAACCTCCGCCTCCCGCGTTCAAGCGATTCTCCCGTCTCAGCCTCCCAAGTACCTGGGAATATAGGCGTCCGCCACCATGCCGAGTTAATTTTTGTAGTTTTAATAGAGACGGGGTTTCACCATATTGGTCAGGTGGTCTGAACTCCTGACCTCAGGTGATCTACTTGCCTTGGCCTCCCAAAGGATTCTACAGGCATAAGCCACTACCCCTGGCAACTTTTTAAATTTTTTTTTTTATTGAAATAGGTGGCCCAAAACTTGTGAAACAGAACTCATGCTGAAGGACAACATTAAACATAATAATTAAAGAAACAGATATTGCTTATGTAAACCATATAAAGAATTAAAAATAAATCCCATTCTGACTTTCAATGTTGTTTCAACACTGAAAAAATATGATGACTTATTCTTTGGTATGAGAAGTCATTTTGATGGTACTTTTACCCTATTAAAAAAAATAGGATTACAAAATCTGGTTCAGGATGTTCAAAGATTATTGCTAAGGCAAATTTTGCAATTTGAGAAAACCTAACTGCAATGATCCATTTATTCAGTTATTTGTTAATACTCAAATTAGTAATTTTCACTCCGAATGGTAAATAAAATGTTAATAAAAAATAACAAGGCATATAAACTTTCCCTAATGAGACGCAGTAAATAAAAACGGTTGGTTACTTCAGAGTATTTACTATAAACATGTCCACTTATGTTATTTTATTGCTATCTATATACTCTTTCCGTTTACTGTATTACTGCACTTGTCTCTAAAACTTCGAAAATCTGTTATCTAAAATCAATTCTCTAATGCTGATTTTGCAGGAAAACTGTATTTCACATTATTAATCTCATTAGTATAACTTTCCTATAAATAAGCATGAAACATGTGGAGGATGCATATATAATGAGTGCTTGGTTACTATAGTAGCAAATGTCAAACTAATTGCTAAAAAAAGTCTAAAGGTTTTGACACTTTGAAAAATCTAGTATATCATTTATCACTATTCACTAATAGTGTGGCAAGAATAGTCACCACAAGTAAAAATTAAGATACTGTTGTAGAGATTGAGGTAATTTTATTATAAATTCCTGATATATTCCACCCCTGCCTGTTCTTAATCTAACTGTAATTTAGTACCACAAACCATTTATGAAAATTAATTTATTTTAAAAGGCATAAAAGTTATTAGTGTAAAAAGAAAAAATACCTATAACTACAAAAAAGGCCAAAGACACTAATGAAGTTACCTCAATAAAGATACTGTAATATGTAACTTGGCCAGCCAAGTTATAACACATTCCTCGCAACTGTATGTCTCAAGGTTCTGAGGATCTGAAAGGTTTTTTGATCCACCTAAAAGTGGCCACCAACCAAATTAATTTCTCTGAAAGACATCTTTAAGAAATTATTTCAGCCTAACCTCGCTTCGTATGGACTCACTCAGATGGCTCATGTTTTATTAGGGACTTGAAGGTTTAAAAATATGTAGTCAATCCAGGGCGAAGTGTTATGTTGTTTGCCTATTTGTAAAATTAACACATACAGAAAATAAGATTCAAACTGATATTGAAAAAGACTAATATATTCATCTAATTTTTTAAAAAAACCTACCAATGGAACAAAATATATTTTATTTTAATTATACCAGCACAGTAAGGCCCAGAAAGACCATGGAGTTGCACAAAGAATGTTCAGCACCAGCAAGATAAAACAGATACTGGCCGTCAGTGCTAACTGCTAGCACACAAGCCCCTGCCGCATTTGTATGATCTGGAGCAGAGCCTCCTGAACATCTTCATCCATGTGACCCTTCGGAGAAAGAAGAAAGAGGAGCATTATTTTATGTAATCTTTGTTTACATAAGAATTCTAAAGACAAAGCTTTTACAAAGCATAACTAGTCATTGACTCATCAAATGCTAAATCCTCACCATTGTGATATCTAAAGGAAAAGGGGGTACAGCCCTATCATGAAAATAAAGTCAATTAATAAGGAGTGCACGGCTGGGTGTGGTGGCTCATGCCTGCAATCCCAGCACTTTGGGAGGCCGAGATGGGTGGATTATTTGAGGTCAGGAGTTTGAGACCAGCCTGGCCAACATGGCGAAATTCCGTCTCTAGTAAAAATACAAAAATAAGCCAGTTGTGGTGGCACACATCTGTAATCCCAGCTATTCGGGAGGCTGAGACAGGAGAATTGCTTGAACCTGGGAGGCAGAGGTTGCAGTGAACCGAGATCATGGCACTGCACTCCAGCCTGAGTGACAGGGTGAGACCCTATCTAAAAAAAAAAGACTAGTGCACACCAGTTGCTCTAACATCCATTATCATAAAACATATGGATAAACCTCCCTCTTTCTCTTTTTTAATAACAGCCTTGAATGATAGAGCAAAGTAAATTACAAGGAAATCTGTTGTTGCTGCTGAGGATTTTTTTTTTTTTTTTTTTTAATTAGAAAACTAACTGATGGCCGAACACAGTGGCTCACACCTGCAATCTCAGCACTTTGGGAGGCCAAGGTGCGAGGATCACTTGAGGCCAGGAGTTTAAGACCAGCCTAGACAATACAGTGAGACTCCATCTCAAAAACTTAAAAAAAAAAAAAAATTTAGCTGGGTGTGGTGGCATGCGCCTGTAGTCCCAGCTACTTGGGAGGTTGAGGGAGGATGATCACTTGAGCCCAGGAGTTGAGGCTGTATGAGTTATGACTGTGCCACTGCACTCCAGCCTGGATGACAGAGCAAGACTCTATCTCTTAAAAAAATTTAAAATTTAAGTAATTGATTTTAAAAACTCATATTTATGTTTTTACATAAATAGGTTCATATATATTATTTTATAACTTGCTTTTTTATGTAGTGTCATAAAAATCTTTCCCTTGAGCTACCCAATTATTTTAAGTTATTGTATAATATCCACTGCATGGATATATTACATTTCTTTACCCATTCCCCTAATGATGGACATTTAAGGTATTTCCAATCTTAATGGAAAGATTACTAGAGAAGAAATTGCTGGGTCAAAAAGCAGTCTCAATTTTTAATTCTGTTAAGTACTACAAAATTTCCCTCTATAGAGATTATAACAATCTGTACTACCATCAATGGAGTAAAAATGCCCGTTTCCAATACACTCTGGCTAACACGATAGACTATAATCTTGTGTAATATTTCCAGTTCCAATATGTTCTTATTCATTTGCATCTCCCCCATTACTGATGAAACAAAGTTATCTTTTTTACATGCATGTTCACCATTTATATTTTTAAAACATACTTTAAACTTCAAATGATGGCATGAGTTGATTAAATGCAGCTCAATATGGTGGGCCTATTACAATACCGCATCCCCTCCCAACACACATGTACGTTTTTTTTCCTGGAGTACCTGAATAGGTTTCAGCACAACACTTCCTATTAATATGAAAAGTTTTGCTTTCAAAATCTGTTTCTATAACAGCAGGATGTTTACATTTCAAACATTAGCCATAGTTGACTGAACTGAATTTCTTAGTTAACTTTATGATGCCAGAAGGCAAGACTATTTCTGATGCCAATTGCTTTTGTTATGTTTCATTAGGACACAGCAGAAAATAATTTCAGATTCTGGAAGTGCATATTATACAAAGTGGAAAGGCTTGTTAGTTTGCTGTATTTTTCATTAAGAGCAAGCTCTTCCTCTCACTGCCAATACTAGTGAGTTTCTCAGCCTCTCTAACACAGATTTTCTACTATTTCCCCACTTGAACTTCCTATTCCCTGTCCCTCAATAATCTTCTCTAATAATTGCAATAAACTTTAAAATTCTAGTTTATCTCTGATTTGCTCAAAAGAGTAGCTAAGATACCTTGTTCTATCATATCATTCATTCTTTTTCATTGGTTTCCCCTCCATCTCCTATAGAAATGGCAGGTCTATTGATTTTAAGAACTTGATATCATAAAGTATCTTTCATTATTTTATCTAGTTCTCTGTTTAAAATTGATTTTTTTTTTTAATCTTTCCCTTCTTTTTTTTTTTGGCTTGTTTTTACAGTGTGGCCTAACATACTTCAAATTCAAATAATTCCCATGATCTCTGTCATTCTAAAATTTGTTTCTTTTAGTACATTTTCTTCCTGAAAAAAATCTATGCTGAGAATTTTGGGGATGATGCTCATGGTGTTTCTACAGGAAATTAAGTATAGTATCCTTTACATGTTAATCATTTCTTAGTATTTTTTTTTAACAACAACTTTCTCAGTACACCCCTAAAAAAAGGGAATTCATAATATTATTCCTTAATTATTCCTTGGCTTTACCAAGCCAAGTTAAGGCTTGGTAAATAATTATCACCAATTCTCTCTTAACAAATCATTTTGTCTTTAATTACTACAGTCCTATACACATAACACCCTGCTTGTTACTTTTGTACTTTTCTAGTATTCAAAGCCATTCCCACTCTCCTCTTAGATGACAGCCACGTGTGGATGTTAAGGCACTGTCTCCAGCTAGCAACACCATTAACGTGTGCTACCATCACATGTTACCAAACTGTCTATAAACTGAGTGACAAGCAGATGGAGACAACACTAAATTTAAGATGTTGTGTTGCCATATAGCTTTGTAAATTTTTCTGGGAGATCCACAAACCATGATTAAAAGAAACATAATTATTTTTAAATAAGCATATGGGGTGCAGCTACTTTAAACATCAATTACTTTCACATAAATTTATTTGAAAATAAAAAAATTATTATCTCTAAAGCAATATTCTTTCCAAAGGAGAAGTAGTTCTTTACCTGTGCAGCACTAAGAAGGTGTGTTCGATAAATTGCAATTACTTCTTGATGCTGTCTGTCAGCATCCTAGAAATGTGGAAAGATGGGCAGATGTGAATATCAGCATTGACATTTCCAAACTTTGGACAATGCTCAGGCTTCATGCTACAAAACTATTATTATTATTAAAGTGCTCCTGCTATTTCTAACAACAAACTACCTTGGACCTACCAGATGCAGAATTCCAAAACTAACAATAGAAACTTCTCTAATGAATGTGTGGCTAATGACAGTAATGCTACTTTCCCTAAGTAACATGAAATTATTGCTTTAGTTCACATCTAGTGCCATGACCTTCTGCAGACACTTATCACATGTTTGGATTATTGCAAATGCTTCCTATCCTGTCTTACTATCTCCACACCGTATTCCCTATCATGCCTCTGAGACTAAGGTACCTCTTTCCTCACATCACTTTTGGCTCAAAAACCTTGAGTGACACTTCTTTACATACATGAGAGAACCCAAATTCATCAGTTTGGTTCTCAATGACTTCCACAGTTTGGCTTCAAACATTGGCTCTCAAATACAGCAGTCCCCTCTTACTGGCAGTTTTGCGATCAGCGGTTTCACTTTCTCTATTTCAGTTGCCCATGGTATAGTACAATAAGATATTGTGAGATATAGAGACCACATTCACATAACTTTTATTACAACATATTGTTATAATTGTTCTACTTTATTATGCTATTGTTATTAATCTCTTACTGTGCCCAATTTATAAATTAAACTTTATCACAGGTATTTATATATGGGGGGAAAACATAGCTTAGATAGGGTTCAGCAGGTCCTATCCATGGTTTCAGGCATCCACTAGGGGTCTTGGAACACAGCCTCAGTTGGTAAGAGGGGGACTACTCTACAGGCAGGCCTTTCAGTGCCCTCTGGCCATGCCACTTGTATTCTGTCTACACGCTTTATAGCATATACAGGGTTCAGCAGGTCCTATCCATGATTTCAGGTATCCACTGGGGGTCTTGGAACATACCCTCAGTGGAGAAGAGGGGGACTACTCTACAGGCAGGCCTTTTACTGCCCACTGGCCATGTTACTTGTATTCCATCTCCATGCTTTTTTTACACTATTTTCTTTGGATGGAAGAGCCTCTACTTTCCTTTCACCCACCAAAATAGCATCTACTTTACAAGTTGAAGCCAGGTACTCCCTTCTTTAAAACTAGCTTCCACCACACCACTAAGCTTTCCTTCCTGGAAACTCCCATCACTTAGAATCTGCATTCTCAATTCTATATTTGACATCTCTCATCTTGTCATTTTACGAATCTGTATTTTGCCTCCCTAACTACCCAGAATTCCTTGGGGACAGGAATGGCATACTTTCTTTATCCCTGCTTAGCACAGTGTCATGAAGATAATAAACAATAAACAAATATTTCTAATTACTAAAGGGACACTATACTCTTTGGATAAGATCCAAATTCACAATTTACCATCCTTAATCTATAGGCCTACAGTGTTAAAAAATAAACACTACAAAAAACCTTTCTTCTCTTAAAAAATAAACAATTCTATGAAATAGGGAAACATCAACAACAATTTACATGTGATTGGGCCATTTTACTTAGCATTTCGTGTGTATTAGTGCATAATTAAAAGCATAGTCTCAGATACTCAGGAAACTGAGGCAGCAGGATCACTTGAGCCCAGGAGATCAGCCTATAGCAAGACCCCACTGGAGACGAGCCTAAGCAACATAGCAAGACTCCATCTTTAAAAAAAAATGTAAACAAACAAGTAATCAGTTATTATTGTTTTGTGGATGAGAAAATCAAGAGTTAAAAGGAATGTTCCTTGCCACTTCCTTGTAAGTGGCAGGACTGAGACCAGACCTTCCAACTTTAGCTTCTAAATCCAGGCATTTATTCTTCTACGTAAGGTATAAAACCATAGGAATGCCTCTTTATTCACAAAGATAAAAGATTATTTTAAAACCTCCTTTAGTTTAGTGGACCAATATTTTAGAGAGTACACTGCAATAAGAAAGATGCTGGATTTGGAGTCAGCCAGTTCCACATTTATACCCCAGCTGAATGACCCCAGGCATCAAATATTTTATTCTTTGTTTCCTTAAGAATTAAATGGAGGGAATAAACCTGCTTTGTGAGATTGTGATGAAGATAAAGTTTATAGATAAAGTATGTAAAATGTTTAATATGGTGCCTGCTGTACAGTAGGCATCAAATAAGTATTATTACACCACCAGTATAGGTAACTTCTCGTATATAAAAACAATTACATTCTTGGATCCAAACACAGCTATAGATCACTTTAATTTCTAAATTAGCCTTACAAACTAACTACAGGGAACCAGCACATATTCACGCAAAGCCCCGTGTGCCTGGTTACTCACAGCCAGCTGTTGCTCCAGAGATTTCACTTGGTGCTGCAGAGTGTCAATCAGCTGGCTCTGCCTCTTGGTAGGGTTCCCACTTGTGTAGGTGAGTTGGGAAAGGCCATTGAGTGCTTGTTTTAGTCTTTCCACATCATTAAGCAGTTCAGTTATCTTAAAAAAAAGTTGTGGGAGAAACATATTATTTACTTATTCATGTACAATGAACATCTTTGTACATAAATCATTCCTTTTTGGAGACACAAGCTTTATCTTTATACACCAGAAAATTGAGGTATGAATATTGCCAAGATTGTTATCAACGGTGCCTATAATACGTAATTTATAATTAAATCCCTCTCCAGAAATTCTTTACAAAAGCAATACCAGATTACAATAAATATTACATATATCCTAAGATGTGAGTATAAACATAGTCTTCTTACTTTTAGATTATAAGTATCTATGAAGGCACATGAACTATCTTCCAGGTAACATATAGAACACAGGAAGGGAAGGGGGATTTCCAGCAACAAAGTGTGAAAAGTAAAAGGGTGTGGCCCATGTAAGTCTAACATATGTTCCTTTTTCCTTTCAAGAGTTGTATTATTTAAGACTACTTTGTTGTCGAGAAGAAAAAAAAAACAAGGAGGCTGTTTATAGGAATAGGAAGTGCCTAGAAACATAGCATTTTCCCCCCTGCTTTAAAGTCAGACAGAGTCGACTTATATGAGCTTGACTAATTTCCTTTACTTTGCTGAGCCTTAAGATGCCACATTGATGAAAGGTGGACAATCTTTCAGAGTTAAAAAAATCAGGTTGGGCACAGTGGCTCACACCTATAATCCTAACACTTTGGGACGCTAAGGCAGGAAGATTGTTTAAACTCAGGAATTCAAGACCAGCCTGGGCAATATAGCAAGACTCCATCTCCTCCCCTGCAACATTTTTTATTGAAAAATAATAATAGACAAAAAAACAAAGAAAATCAAATGCAATTATATGCACATGCTCAATAAATGGCAACAAGTAGATATTAATAATTAGCTCTTATAATTTATAAGTATATTTACTTATACTTAAGTATAATAATATATTTAAATTTATAAGTATATTTATATAGTAATATATATTACTATATATATTCATAGCTACCTTCTGAACAAGCTTAGAGCATTTAAATTCTCAATCACAGAGATGGTGTGCCAGAGGATAGTATGTACAAATACTTTCCAATGGGGAGGGCAGTCTGTGTCTGTGTTTACTCTACTGTATCCCCAGCACATGATATGTAGAAGGCATTTAATCATTACATGTTGAATGGATAAAACTGCAGTCAGTCTTTATATGTCATCTCCATAGTAAAAACTTTATAAATACCAGTGTCAAAAATATTGTTGAGTACCTGTCTGTAAATTGTACCATGAGAATTAAAAATAAAATGGAAAGTTAAGTTATAAACCCTGCTCATAAAAACTGGGCAGATCAACTACATAATTCTAACAAGGTAATATACATGTTTTAAAGGGATGGCAAAGCCACAAAAAAACATGTATCTTAGAGGAGGAACTGTTTACCATAGACTAGATTGGACAGTGAGGGCTTTAGGAAGGAGGATAACATGTTAATGAATGTATAGGATTCAACTCAGTAGAAAGGAGGGAAAGGACATTCTGGGTGAGGGAACTAGTCTGTAGAACGACATGAGCAACAGAACATAAAATGAATTGGAGGGCTCAGTTTACTACTATGGGTGAGTGCCAAGATCAACTCTGGATGCTCCCCAGTGTTCTTGGTTTCTTGCAGCCCAAAATGAGAGCTTCCCCACCACCCTCTTCCCCACCTTTCACATGCCACAAACCCACTGGCTTTTGACTCTTCATCTGTGAGACAAGTGAGCCTTAAGTCTCCCCATCATTCCTCATTCTTGGCTAGAACAGCTAAACAAACAGAAGGAAAAATGCTTCTGATTTTTGTTTGCATTACTTCACTTTTTTTAAATTCGGAATTTTTGCACACAAGTTGCCAAACTGGAAAGGGTGTATCTAATGGTCACTTTGTTACTACCTATGTCTACTTTCCTGTGAGATTCTGTGGTAAAGAGTGCTGCTCTGGGTTTCCAACACATAGTCATGCAGACTACTTTGTACCTACCTTATTATCTTTTGCTTCTATTTGTTTAGCAGATTCTTGTATTCTTCTTTGCAACTCTGTGATTGTTGTTAAGGACTTATCACATCGTTCCTTCTGATCCTTGATTTCTTGCTCAATGCTGAAATGCAGTAATTCCTTCTCATCTTTTGCAGATATTTCCTTCTTCTTGGCATGTAAAACTTCCTCACATACTTCCTCATACTTTCTATTCAGATTGGCCAATTTTTCATTTAAGCTGGAAATCTGTGTCTCCAAATCACTTTTTGTTGCTTTATATTTAGACAAATCAACTACTTCTCTAGTCTCTAATTTTTTTAACGCTTGTTTAGTATTCTGAACCTCAGACTGAAGTTTGGAGACTTCTTCCATTTTGTTTTGGCTTTCTTCTTCCTTTTCTCTCAAGCTAGCTTTTATGATTCCAACTTCTTTCTCAAATGCTTCTTTAATCTGCAAATGCTCTGCCAGGGGTACAGAAGAGTTCTTTTGATTCTCCAACAACTGATGCAGTTTGGTCACTGTCTGCTGCTCTTTCTCGTAACACCTTTGCATATTCTTCAATTCTTCCTTTAGATTTTCAATTGTGCCATTAAGAGATTTTTTCAGAGCTTCAACCTGTTCCAATGGAACATGTTGTTTTTGCAAAAGATTTTGCACTGCAAGTATCTCAGAGGTCTGTTTGGCATTTTCTTCTACTAGCTTCTCTTTCACATTCTTTATTTCTGCATATTTCTGTGACAAGTCTTTTAACTGTTTGTTTAGCTCGTCTGTTTTTCTGCTTAATGCTCTTTCCATTTCATGAGACTTCTCAATGAGAACTGTCTTATCCCTCAAATCTTTCTGAAGGGTAAAAATCTCCTTCTTTAACCTATCATTCTCTTGCTTGTTTTTCTTGACTTCTTCTTCACTGACACTATACTTCTGTGTCTGCTCTGATAACTGGTCTTTTAGTTCTTTCTCTGTTGCTTTAAATTTTCTCTCGCACTCCTCAAAGCTGACAATTGGGGCGTATTTTACCTTAATGCATTCTTGTATTGTGTCGAGCTCCTTCTTCTGGGCTTTAATTTCGGCATGCAGTGTCACAATCTCTTCTTGGCCTTTTCTGTAGTTGGCCAGTATTTCAGCATTACTATCCTGCACCTTTCTCATGCTCTGACTTAGCGAGCTCATCTTTGCCTCGTGCTCTGCCAGGCTGATGTACTCAGCTTTTATTTGGTTCTGAGTGTTTTCCAGGTTTCTTTTTAGTATTTCATTCTTATCTTTTATTTTTACAAATTCCTGATTTATATCTTCAAACTTTTTCTTCACATCTAATAATTCTTTGTTAGTTTTAGCTAACGTGTTATTCAGTGTCATTTTAATCTCTTCATGGGTTTTAACCGGCACATACTCATTACTCATCATCTTCTTCAAGTTACTGTTTTCAGATGTGAGAGCGTATATTTTCTCCTGGTCTTCACCACATTTTTTCTTAAGTTCAGACAATTGTTTCTTAAGTTCAACAATATTGGATTTCAGAGCTGTTACCTCTTTTTCATGTTTCTCAGGAGGTACAAACACAGTTTCTAGGCGGTTCACATCCTTACTTAAGCTGTCATTTTCCAGTAGCAATTTCTCCATTTCCAGCTTCTTTTCTGTGTATTTTTGTGTTACATCTAAAACCTTTCTATTAAGATCATCAATAATTGCATCATGTGACTTTTTCATGTCTTCACTTACTTTTAAAGGAACATAATGATTTTTCATTTCAATTGTTAAGTTATGTGCTTGCTCCTTGAGGAGCTTATTATCCAGATAAACTTTTTCAATTTCCTTTTGTAGTATCTGATTTTTCAATGTTAACTCAGTGATCTTCTTCCCAAGTTCTCCTGATTTCTGTTCTAATCTGCTCTTAACCTGTTCATGTTCCTCTAGTTTGATGTGCTGAGCAAGCTTGGCCTTAACATTCTCAAGTTCTCTCTTTAACTGTCTAATTTCACTAAGGGATTTTTCATGTTCTCTTTCCATTTCTACTAATTTTTTTGCTTTCTCATTCACTTCATTTGATAATGAGCTCTTCATGTTTTCAAATTTTTCAGCTGGAATGGAAAGGGCCAACTTTGCTAACAATTCTTTTGCCTGGCCTTCCATCTCTTTGACCTTTCTTCCTTTCTTCTCTCGCTCCATTTCACACATACTAAGTTCCTTCTGTAATCGCTTATTTTCTTCTATCAGCTTGCCTTCATCCCTCTTAAACTCTTCCACTATCATCTCATTTTGTTTGATTTGGTTTCTTAATTTCCCCACTTCTGCTGAAGCACCTTCATATTTTGCTTTCATGTCTTTCAACTGATCCTTCAGTTCCTCGGTTAGTCTGTGATTCCCTGAGGCTGCTTCACTTGTTAAGTGTTCTTTAAGGGCAAGAAAATGGGTCTGCATTTGTTTAACTTTACCTTCTGACTCATACATCCTCTTCTGCACATCTTTTAATGCATCTTCTAATTGCTTTATCTGTTCATCTGAATCCTCCTTGACCCTTTCACATTCTAATGCTAAAGCTTTGCATTCTGCCACTTTGTGTGCCAGTTCATTTTGGAGCTTCACTCGGTCTTGTTTTGCTGACTCGCAGAAAGTTCGCATTGCTTCTAACTCTTTCTTTAAAATTTCATTTTCGGAGTATGATGTTTGACTGGGTAAAGATAGCTCCAGAGGTCTTAACATAGATCTGCTTTGCATATGGGCTGGTATACCTGGGGAAGTACACTGAAAAGAAAAAAACAAAAAGACATCAATCACAAAAGTCTAAATGAGACATTTACTATACTTATTTGCCAAACTTAGAGAAAGTTTGCACATCATCAGGAGTCAAAGTGTTATCAGACTAGGTAGTAAGATGGAAAAAAAACACAATGCTGATTTTTGTATTAAGAAAACAGTTCTGGATATGATTTCCTTAATACATTCACAACATTTTCAGACCTCTGTTCACGTAAGTCTATTTCTGGCAGAACAAGGGAAAACGGTCATGGCTACTGGGTGCTATTTTGTCTTTCCTCTTTCATAACACCTACCCACACATGCATATCACCAACTTTATCAAAACGTATTTATTATTTATATGTTTTATGGCACATAATGTGCTTAGAACTTCAAATTCTGAAGCAAACCATCATAACCTTGAATAAAAACAAGTATTGTCATTTTAAATGTGCAGATAATTTCATAGAATTATAGATTTAACTTCTAATAAGATTTTTGACTTCTGTGTACTTTCACTGTTAAAACAACAGAATATTCTCTAAATTATAAAAATACCACCAAAATAAACCCAGCTAGTTACCAGAGTTGTCAAGAGAATGATTGGTCACGGCCAGCACCAGGGAAAGAGTCTCCCAATAGATAGAAAACACCTGGAGCTGGTGACAGCCACTTCCGGATAAGATCTCCGGAGCTGGGTGAGCAGGCTCAAGCATGCACACTAAGAGGCAAAATGGTGGATGTGTGACCTTCTTCCAGGGGCATTTGACTGGTAAAGGAAAACAGCCCCTAGAGAGCATGTGCACAACCTTAGTAAAGGCACTACATATGTGGACCCTCCTAAGTGCTGACAGGCCACTACACATGCAGACAGCCTGCCCCCAAAAGAAGAATCAAGGGAGGAGAAATGCAAACCCAAAACCAAGCCAGTGTATAAAAATCCCAAGCCAAGGGCTGAACAAGAGCACTGGGATCTCTCAAGCCACCCACTTGGCCTTCTTCCAAGTGTACTTTGCTTCCTTTTGTTCCTGCTCTAACACTTTTTAATAAACTCGCTCCTGCCCTAAAACTTCCCTTGGTCTCTCCCTCTGCCTTAAACCTACTTCTGCCCCTCAGCCAAATCCTTTCCACTGAGGAGGCAAGGATAGAGCTTGCTGCAGATCCCTACAGATTTACTGTTAGTTAAATCTGAACTGCCTTTCCCCTGGATCAAGAGGAAAAAAAAAAAAAGTAACTTTGAATTATTCATATCTGTCCTCCCCTTTATATGGGCAAATATGAAGAGTTAACTGACCACTGTTAATGAACAGAAACTTAGCATCAAATGCAATGAAACTGCAATTCAAATCTCTTATTATAACCACTATCATCAAAAACACTCTAGAGGGCACCAGAAACAGCAATATCTGTTTTTATTAAACTCAAGAAAGCAGGACTAACCTGTCTTTGATAATGAAAACCTCACTCTATTACAATGCTACTTTCTCCTCTTTATAAAGGCACAGAAATTTTCTTTAAATGTTTTTTAAAATTAAAAAAAAAAAACAGTTATTACCTGTGAGTCTGCCATATACATCTGACCTTGTTTAAGAAGCATATCTTCTTTTCCTAAATAAATCCATATAAATGACATTTTAATTTAAATATCCATATTAAAGTAGGCTAAACATTAACTTGATGTTATTTCCTTTATTATTCAAATAAAAGAGAAGCAAGAGGTACAACATAAAAGTATCCTCATTCTAAAATACCCCCTTTTTTCCCTTATTATTTCTATAAACAGAAGTACCTACAATCTACTGAACAATAGATACTAGGTTGGTTTTTATTTTTTTCTTATTTTTTTTCTACGCTCTCTTTCAGCAGAATCACTAAGATTTCAGAAACATCGAAGACTGTCAAACTAGGCTACATGATAATAAAACATATCTTATAATCAAAACAAAAATGATATTCTTTCAAATTTATAGCATAAATATTACTGTTGTACAAGAGGATAGTTTAATAGTCACTAGGAAACAAGCAAAAACAGATTTTCTACAGAAATTGTTTATTGCAGAATAAAAAAGATTAATTATGTAGAGTCTAAAAATAATTCATAAATGTTTATTGAACATGTAATTTTAAAATGCCTACTTGCATTGAGACTGATTTCTCCAAATTAGAAAACTGTGTTTATGTTCTTCCCATAAAAAAATGAAGCCTAAATATCACAAGACGAATGTCTATGTCTACTAATCAACAAGGCAAATTTGGTAATTCATACAATATACAATTTTAAAATACAGGTAGCTAAGGAGAATCAGAGCCTCAGCAATTATCAGAATATGTTAGAAGTTACAATAGTCATCTTAATGTCTTCCTAGTTACATGTGTTGATGAAGTTTAGCAGCACGAATATCTTGTACAGTTATTTCTGTATAGTTAAACAAGTAAGAATAAACATTCTTCTTTGCTTGAACTAGGTGAACTGCAATGATAATCCATACTTTTATACTTACGGTTACTGAAATGACTTCCTGATCCTAAATGATCACTCTGAAATCAGAAGCATAAAACATTTTAGGGTGAATGCTGCCTCATTTTGTTAAATTCTGTATCTGTTTTAGCTCTAAATGATGCAGTCATTAAAACTACATTTTTGACATTCCTGTTTCTCCAGAGCATTATTCTACTCAAACCCACAAAAAGAAACACTAGCAACACTTAGAGAGATCAGGTGGGAATAAAGTACTTCACTAAGCATTTTAATAAAAGCAGTCAAGTGTTTTAAGGAAAAGCTTCATTGCTCAAAAGAAAAAAAAAAAGTAAGCCCTAAATGAACTGAAAACAACTTTCAAAAGCTACTGTTTGCTACTGCTTTACCTCAAAAGGAAGGAAGTGGCCACATTCATGTCAATAACTCATTTTACTTTACCATTGTAGGAAGCAGAAACCCTACCTCATTGACTATGAAATACCGACATAACCTCTTCTTCCAGAGTTTATAAAATACCAAGTACTTGGAAAGTAAAACGAGACAGAGAGCAGGAAATGAAACTGAGGCAGAGACCTACACATAGTAATAAATCCATCAATCCATTAGTTAGGAAATAATAGAGAAACTCCAGATACAGTGAATCAAAATATACTGGGTTGCTCCTTTTCCCAAGTAAGCCCAATACAAAGAATCTAATATATAAATTAAAATGTTACACTTCAAGAGTAAGAATAGGCCAGGTGCAGTGGCTTACACCTGTAATCCCAGCACTTTGGAAGACTGAGACAGGTAGATCACTTGAGCCCAGGAGTTTGAGACCAGCCTAGGCAACGTGGCAAGACCCCATCTCTACAAAAAAATACAAAAACCAGCCAGGCGCGGTGGTTCATTCCTGTAATCCCAGCACTTCGGGAGGCTGAGGCGAGTGGATTGCCTGAGGTCAGGAGCTCAAGACCAGCCTGGCCAACATAGTGAAACCCTGTCTCTAATAAAAATACAAAAAATTAGCTGGACACGGTGGTGGGCACCTGTAATCCCAGCTACTAGGGAGGCTGAGCCAGGAGAACTGCTTGAATCTGGGAGGCGGAGGCTGCAGTGAGCCGAGATAGTGCCATTGCACTCCAGCCTGGGCAACAAGAGTGAAACTTCAATCAATCAATCAATCAATAACACACACAGAAACATTAGCTGGGCAGGGTAACCCAAGTTACTCAGGAGGCTGAGGTGGAAGCACCACCTGAGCCCGGGGAGGTCAAGGCTACAGTGAGTGGTGATCACACCACTGCACTCCAGCCTGGGTAAGAGAGTGAGACCCTGTCTCAAACACAAAACAAAACAAAACAAAACAAAAACCCCAGAGTGAAATGAAGAGTAAGGAAAGGCAGATGCAGTTCATATTTGTGTATTTAGGTGTATCAGTCCTAATAGCTACATACCAAACTCTGAAGTAGTCGACCATGATAAAACAGTCCACAATTCCATGACTAAATTAATGCCACCTCCTTTAATCATTAGTGCCCCCACGGTATGAAAAAATACCTATAGGCTTAGTTAAGCTCTTTGTTCTATGGAATATTTAATACTAAAGTTTACAATAACTCCGAAATGGCCTCATACATGCATAAGGGGGTGCTATGCACATAAGGAGTTCAAAAAACTTAATTTGGTCTTATTACCTTTATTACTCAAATGAAAACAAACATAAAAGTTGTAACATAAAATCAGCCTCATTCTAAACTATCCATTTTCTCCATATTTTTATACATACAAGGGAAATAGCTACATGTTAAGTTATTATACATAACTCATACCAGTAATTCTTTTAACAGTTAAGGTTTTTTAAGCATGTGAGATAATACAGCAGTAGATATTCAATGTTTGTAGTAAGTGATGAATTCTTAGTAGTTTGTTGTTGTTTTGTTTGTTTGTTTTGAGACAGGGTCTCACTTTGTCGCCCAAGCTGGAGTGCAGAGGCACAATCTCAGCTCACTGCAGCCTCCACCTCCTGGGTTCAAGTGATTCTCCTTCCTCAGCCACCCAAGTAGCTGGGATTACAGGCATGCACCACCTCGCCCAGCTCATTTTTGTGTTTTTAGTAGAGACAGGATTTCACCATGTTGCCCAGGCTGGTCTCGAACACCTGAGCTCAAGTGATCCACTTGCCTTAGCCTCCCAAAGTGCTGGGATTACAGGCTGAGCTCAATACCATGTCCAGGCAAATTCTTAGTAGTTTTTAAGGGTTGCTGTTATAAATACTAGGTCATGTATAAAGTGGGACCTGTAATTTTCTGTTTGAAAGTAAAAAATCATTGCTAGCATAAATATTCATCACAATGAGTATGTAGTGACTGAGGAAAATGTCCCCATCATACTGAATGGGAACAGTTACAAAACAAGATGTACAATATGATCCCACCTGTTGAATGAGTACATAACACACAAATTATGTACAAGTGTCTGAAAGGATTTCAGTCAGGTGCTAGCAGAGTTAAGATTATAAGTGTCTTTTGCATGTGCTTTCAGTTTAAAGATATTTTCTTATTTTTCTGAAGTAAATATGTATTTTTATAAGAAAAATGTTACTTTTATGACTACGGTAAGTTATAGACTTGACAATTAAGACAGATAGTTTGTCTAAAGCTACAGAAAAACACCTTTGTTTTCTTCCCCTTGAGACAGAGTCTCACTCCGTCACCCAGGCTGGAGTGCAGTGGCGTGATCTCACTCATTGCAACCTCTGCCTCCCAGATTCAAGCGATTCTCCTGCTTCAGCCTTCTGGGTAGCTGGTATTACAGGAATGTGCCACCACACCCTGCTAATTTTTGTATTTTTAGTAAAGATGGAGTTTCGCCATGTTGGCCAGGCTGGTTTCAAACTCCTGACCTTAAGTGACCCACCCACCGTGGCCTCCCAAAAGTGCTGGGATTACAGGTGTGAGATGCTGCGCCTGGCCTACATCTTACACTTAAGACATGCAGAAAAGCTAGCTCCTAGAAGAAATATATACATAAATAATACCCAAGTTATAGGTGTCAAACTTTGATTAATACTTAAAAGGCCCTGTATATACTCCTAAATTTTCTCATTCAAGTAATTCTAAGTGTAAAACTAGCATTGTAGTTAAAAGCACAAAGGAGTCAGATGCTTGAATTCAAATCCTGACTCTGTCACTTACTATTTGTGAAACCCCTCATGGGTAAACCCTGCGCCTCAACCTCCTTATCTGTGAAGTCAGGTAATAGTAAAACTTATCACATAGAGTTCTTTTTTCATGCACGTCAAGAATGCAAAGTACATTGGTCAGTGCTATTAAAATATTAGCAATCATCAGTTTCACAATTAACCTAAAAAAGAGTCTTCAAATGTGAAGACAGAAGCCACTATAGCTAGATCATTTTTTGGTTTATAAAATGGTGTTTCTGAATAATCTTGAAAATTCAGTCACATAAATATGTACACATATTAAATGTGTATAATACAATGAATTTTTGCATATGCATAACTTTTGTAATTGTACACAACCCAGATTAAGATATAAAATATTTCCAGGACCCCAGAAGTTTCTTCACACACCTTACTCGTAACCCCAACCAAAGGGTGGCCTCTATTCTAATCTCTAACATCATAGATTAGTTGTATCTGCTTTTGAACCTCATAAAAATAGAATCATTCAGTATGTACTCTTCATGTCTGATTTCTCTCTTGCAACATTGTCTGTGAGATTCATATATGTTTTATATTATTTTTCATAATGCACACATAGTTCTTTATTTACAAAGAAAAATATTATTTTTGCTATGCTCTGAATGTCTGCCAAGATGTGTTGAAACTTAATTCCCACTGTGGTGGTATTATGAGGTAGGGCCTTTTGGAAACTGATCAAGTCATGAGGGCTTCACTTAGGCCCCTTTTTGCCCTTTTGCCTTCTGCCAGGAGAAGATGCAGCAAAAGGCCCTCACCAGACACACGCCAGATCCTTGATCTTGGACTTTCCAGCCTCCAGAACTGTGAGAAATTAATTTGTTCTTTACAAATTTTCTGTATTTTGTTAGAGCAGCACAAATGGACTAAGACACTTTTTCAGTGTACTTTGGGGCTGCATTCACCAACAAAGATAAAAGATTCATGCTGAATCAGCTACCTTCAGTGATGCCCAGTGATGACTCCTTTCTGAGATAATCCTGGACATATCACTGTTCATTTTTATGAATGCTTTTTATTATCATTATACTCACTGCAAATTTACAGGTAGAAATATGATGTTTTAAAAAGGTAAGGATGGACAATGAAGAGAAACTAGAATGACACTAAATGTCGATTACATGCTAGTCAATTTAAATGATCTTAACCTTTATAACTATGTGGAGAAAGAGACAATCACCCCAGTTTTGCCAAACAGGCAACAGGTTCGAAGACTTTAAATAAGCAGCCCAAGGTCACACTATAAATAAGAGATTTATAATTCAAATTCAAGTCTGCTGCCAAGCCCCTTACCATTACCCATTATGAGTTATAGGAAATAATTTAACCTTTCTATACCTCAAAATATTTAAACCTATTTTTCAGAGCCTCAATAGTCCTTAAGCTTTCTTCATGTTGCTTTTCTTTGGCTGCCAAAAGGGACTTCAGCTTTTCTCTCTGAAATGAAACAGAATAAATAGAGTAAAATAACCCTGTGCTTGGAATTGGGTTAAAAATGTGTTTTAGAAAACATGAATTGGAATTACATTAAGGACTGGAGTTAATGAATTCTCCAACCTGGTGAATTCTACTAGTAGAGTTGATAATTTCTACAAATATACTAATGAAACATACAATATCTATAAACAAAATCATAAAAAATTCAAATCTCTGTTTTCAATCTTAATGTTTTCAGACATTTCTTTATGTTTAGAATTTTACATTATTTTCAGGACAAGTTTCACAGAAAGTAAGACTTTCAGAAACAACAACAACAAAATGCCTACAATAACCTATGCCACTATATTCAAAACATCCTTTTATAGTCATGTGTAGATTTTGAATTTCCCTTTAATAACCAGAAATAGAATCCTGGTCTGTATCTCAATTCAGGACTTAAACCTACTATAGCATCTATAATTGAAGATGCTACTATAGCATCTTCAATTCCTAAAACAATTTTAATGGTTTAAAATAAAATGTCATCCTACCTCGCTTTCCAGATCATCAGCAACCATAACTTCCTAAATTTAAAAAGAAGACAAAATATTTTCATTCTTAAAAGCTTATTTTAAAAGGCATGAACTTGGCAAAGATCTTTTAAAAAGACTGGCACATGTCTTTAAGACTGGGGCCAAGGATATGAGAAGATAATGTACCACCAATTCTGTTGTATGAGTTGTCTTTTATTCTTCTCACTATCCAGGTTCAGAAGCACTTTTGATTCTCTTGAGAATCTATCAAACAACAAGTCCTACTTGTTCTTTGTCCTCATATCTCCTGTCTACTCTTTTCTCTCCAATCCCATGGCCCTAACTATAGTTCAGCCTTTTGCTTTTGCATATGTTCAATTTTAGGAAAATCTAACATAGATAGCAAGATACTAAAGTGATACAGAAAATTAGAATCAGAAGGACACAGCTGTACCAATCACGCAGTTACTTCTTACTTTTGAAATGCAAATATCACATAAGATTTCACCTGTGATAAGTCCTGTACATAATAAAATGTATATTTAAAGAGTGAACTGATTGTACTAGATTTCATATATATTCTACTTTCCCTCTAAAAAAAAGATTCATGGATATTTCCTGTATTTCCAATTTTTTTATACAACAAGGAATATATTACAGGTCACTGTTTCTGTGATTTTGTTCACCACAGTGTTCTCTGGAATGCCCTCTGATTCCCCCTTACTTCCTTCAAAATTCAACAGAAGTACCGTCTCCCACAGGAAGTGCCCCCCTCAGAAGCTACAGCCCACAATGATCTCTCCTCACTTTCCTGAACATTCTTTACACTGTCCTTACTTGTTTGCTTATGCTACTTTAAATGTAAAATTTCATGTAAAAAGCCTGGTCCCCAGTAAGATTTAACTCCTCTGAAATGCAATGAGCTAATTTTACCTTAAACAATCATTAACAATTTGCTATTGATGATGTAATAAGACAGTTTTTTGATTTTTTATTATGCAGATTTATTTACCTCATTCAGCTGTAACTGTAAACCGTTGACTTTATCCAAAAGTATTCGTTGTTCTTGCTGAATTTTTCTCAACCTCTCTTTCAAATCTTCATTTTCAATCTCCAAATCCTTAAATAATAAAGACAACAAGGTGCCAGGCCAATCTTAAAAGAGCAAATTCTTAAAGAAGAAATTTTTTAAAAAGCAGTTCACTGTCATACAGGTACATACGCATGTAAAACACTAAGTACAAAGATACAATAATTTCAATGATATGCCAAGGATTTAAAATCTACAGATCAAAAATAAAATAGAAAATTACTATCCTATAATAGCTAATAAATACAAGTATATACTACAAGAGGGCAAATCATCATAATTCCAATAAAGAAAAAATAAAAAGCATCCAGACACAGAAAAGAGCAAAAGAATATGCCATTTTAACTTTTGCTTAAGACCTCCCAAATTTATGAGACTCTTCTAATGTTTTTGTTGAACTTATCATCGTTTTCAGTGCTCTGGTAAAAGATAAAGGCTCGAATTTAAGGACATAGTTCATTTTCTTACACTACATACAAAACTAAGAAAACCCAAATAAAATGCTTTTATTATTTTGAAAACAGCTATTCAATTTATCATTTAACAGTGTTTCAGTCATAAAATTAATTATGGGTCCTTCCTCTAAAATAATCCTCATAATATTATTTGGAAACTTTGACCAATATAAAAGCTAAAAAGTACTGTGTGGTTAGTTTAACAAAATTATTTTTCTCAATCAAAATAGAAAATACTTCAAGAAAAAAATCAGATTTAACTTACATTAATGATCATCATTTTTAATAGTATAATTTTCCAAAACAAACACAAATGTATGGTTTATATCACAAAACAGACATATTTAAATCAAATAGTTATATAAAGTTGCTTTTTCTAATGTATATTAAAACAATACTTTCTACACCATACTTCGTGTTATATAATTAAATTTTATAATACTGGACTCAAACATTGATAACAAAAGTCAATTCTTTAAGACGAGATTAGGCAGCCGGGCACGGTGACTCACACCTGTAATCCCAACACTTTGGGACGCTGAGGCGGGTGGATCACCTGAGGTCAGGTGTTCGAGACCAGCCTGGCCAACATGGTGAAACCTATCTCTACTAAAAATACAAAAATCAGCCAGGCATGGTGGCACATGCCTGTAATCCCAGCTACTAGAAGGGCTGAGGCAGGAGGATCACTTGAACCTGGGAGGCAGAGGTTGCAGTGAGCCGAGATGGTGCCACTGCCCTCCAGCCTGGGCAACAAAGCCAGACCCCATCTCAAAATAAATAAATAAATAAATAAATAAATATAAAATAAGAAGAGATTAGGCAAAAAAGAGAATCACAAACAACGTTAACGAGTTTCCCTTTCTTTGCCCTGCTCATTTCACCCACTCTCTTGTTTCCTCTCTTCTCTCTCAATCCCACTACAAATACTGGAATTGTTTTTAAAGGAAGATACCACATTTTTTTCTTTTTACCTGAATATTTTGATGCTCCCTCTGATGTGACTTCACATTTACTTCATCTTGCATGTGTGTCAAATTTCGCTTTGGTAAAACATAAGAAAACACGGGTCAGCAAGTGTGAGAATACAGAAAAGTATATTTTCCTCAATTGGCAATACACCAGGTTAGTGATTTCCAGTTTATCCAACATTAGCTGCACATAACACAAGGTGGCAGTGTTTCTATTTAAAACCCCAAAATGTAAAGGACCTTTAAGATTATATTTTAAATAAATCAAGTATAATTTATTTAAAAATACTAAATAACAAATTTTAAAATATGATTAAGGATTTATTTTAACTAAAGTCACAAAATTTTAAAAAGAAGAATTTGTAATAAACTCATAACAAAAGTTGGGCTATAAAGCACTGCATTGCCAACTACTCCTAAAAGAACTCAATTTTAAAAAAAAAAAAAGGAGGAGGAAGGGGAAGTCACATAAATTTTGAAAGACAATATGGAAATTATTTACTTCTCTGAGCACCACCAAAATAAAATATCAAGAGGTATGGTAAGGAAGAGACAGACAGTCCCTCTGACCTGAGCAATATAAAAAGGTCTCTAAATAACTTGGTTGGGTATATGTTGTTTTTGTAACTTACTGCTTTGAAACTTTATTCCAGCTTAGAGATTTGCTTTAACAAAAACACAACATAATCATTAAACAAGAGAACAAATAACTCCCCTATTAAAAAAACCAAAATGATCTTTAAATCTCCACAATAACTAATGTAGAAAGCTATTTCTTTCTTCCTAATTAGTTTTTTTAAAAAAACTACTGCTTTAATTCTTCGAGATAATTTTCTCATGTTTTGTATTATTTGTTTACCTTTGTTTGAACAAGTTTTTAAACTATCATTCAAATGAGTTTGGATCTAGAACCAGAGGAACAAGTCCCATTTGAAAAATATTCTATGTCCACAATTTGGCCCTAACTATGTTTCCAGCCTCATTCCTTCTACCAAAGGACTGTTCTTCAAGTGGAATCTGACATCTTCTGAGAGCTCACCTGATCATACCACTTTCATTCTCAGTCTTCACTTCAGAATCCTCACCCACGGCCTCCACTATACCTTAACTCAGACATATTAAGTCAACCCCATCCTTTAATTAAAATCCATCTTCCTGACAAACCTTGTTATTAGCACACTAAAAGAACCTCTCTTGCACCTCTGGCTCCACTTAGCAGCGATCTGATCACATGCACCACTGATTAGGGGGCACACGTCCTGCCTTCTGCCATCTGGTAGTTACTGGTGGGTACATATCCAAAGTCCTTATCATACAAGGTCCTTCTTAATCTAGCACTTTGTTACTTTAGCAGCCTCTTCTGCTCCCTCCACGATGGGCACATCACTCCTGTCACACTTGTCTGCTGCTGCTCCATGAACACGTCTAACCTGCTCCCTCATCAGGGGCTGGGCACCTGCCCTTCCCTCAGCCTGTGAGGCTTCTCCCACAGATCTCCACCCACTCCCTCTTCATCCTTTAATTCTGTTTTGTTTTGCTTCATAGCATCTGCTATGATACTAAATATTCCTTTGCTTATTGTTCATCTCTCACTAAGCTAGGAACTCCACAAGGGCAGAGACTTCGTACACTACAATATTTCCAGCACTTAGAACAGTAGTTGGCATGTTGTAGAAGTTCAACAGATATCTGTGAAAAATTGAGTGAGTCTTACATTTGCAACTGTACTGTAGGCTTCTTGATAACAGAAATTACATGTGCCTTAGTATTTAAAAAAAAGTCCTATTTACAGCATATATTTAGTAAGTATATTCAATAAATGATAGAAACACAGTAATTAGGAGCAGTGTGTCTTTCTGTCCCTAGTAGAATACTAACTCCTTGTATTCACCTCAATAATTCCTAGAGCACTAAGCCAAGCACCATTCCCATATTAATATTCAATCATTCTTTTTATTTTAAATATCTATACATTTCAGAAATCATTTTTCTCTGATTCTGTGTGAGATGGCTAGTACAGTCATAGCAGTGTACATTTTTTTCATTCTACTCACACTTAGGTTATATGAGGCACAGGGAAGAAGGCTGGAACAGTTGCTCCAGATGGAAAAGTGCCAACAGACATGAACCATGCATGAACATATTAACTCAGATGGATTGAAAAGGAAAACAAGCTTTAATGCAACTTTCATGATAAGTGCAGCAAACCACCATGGCACATGTATAGCTATGTAACAAACCGGCACAGTCAGCACATGTATCCCAGAACTTAAAGTAAAATTTTTTAAAAATGTAGCTTTCAGATTCAGGTGAGAGGTAGAAAAATGACACAAGATGATGATCAGAATTGCCCAAGATACCTGATTACTTTCTCTTCAGGGTTTGCAAATGCTTAGGTTCCTCTCTCTAGAGAAAAGTTGAAAGCCTGGAAGGAACAGTCAGCAGGAGAGGAAAGCTGCCTACACTAGCTGTTGAGCCACAGTACTGTAAACTAACCCCACTTATTTGAACACAAATAGATTAACAGAAAACATAAGATATTTCACAAACTGGTACATCAAAACAGGGTTAAACAGTACTTTAATAATAAATTTAATGCAAAGCATGAATTGTTTCATGTGTTGTTATTCTGCAAAGTCCTCAATTAAATACACACAGAAAAAAAGACTGAAGAAGAAATAAAAACTCTAACAGTGGCATTGAAATCACAATATATAATCAGTTTAGAACTCTGTTTTCTTCATTTCTTATTACATTTAAAGAATTTTCCCATAACAGTAAATATTTTGTCCTATTATTAAGGGAGACTGGGGGAAACTGTCTATGATCTGCCAAGCTAAAGTTCATCATTTAACAAGTTACAATGTCTCCTACTTGAAAAAGTTGAATGCTCACGGCCCCAATCAGGAGGCTATTTCTTTCCCACTGGATACTTTCACTGAAACTAGATCTACTGTCTCAAGTGAAGTGACAGTATCTTGATAGGACCTCATGATCTAAGTACCCAGAATCTACATGGGCTTGATTAACTGAGAAGAGAGATAGAATGCATTAAAACTCAGAATAGTTATGCATAACTATTAACTAGTTTTAACTAAGCACTTTAAACTGTACAATACATATAATTCTTTAACATTAAAATTAATATCTACCTGTTGCAAAGACGGTCCTTTCTTCCAAAGTTCTCTCCCTAAGATTTAGAGAAAAAGAGAAACAACAAAATGGCAGGTTAACCTGGTGTAGATATACATTCCCTAACTATACAATTGAGTCAATATTGAATAAATAAACTTTAGAGTTTCCTCCAAAGCTTACAACTTTTTAGTTTTATTTCTAAAACATATGCTTAAAACAATAATGAAATCTCACTTTTGCCTATCAAATTAGCAAGTTTTTTATACCAACATTCAAGTAGGTAGGATTAAAGACTAAGGACGGGAGGCAGATAAAAAATGGGAAATTTATTTAGGATGGGTATGGTGGCTCACACCTGTAATCCCAGCACTTTGGGAGGCTGGGGCAGGAGGATCACTTGAGGCTAGGAGTTCAAGACCAGCCTGGGCAACAGAGCAAGACCCCATCTCTACAAAAAAATATAAAAAATTAGCTGGCCATTGCGGTACCCGCCTGTAGTCCCAGCTACTCATGAGGCTAAGGCGGGAAGACAGCTTGAGCCCAGGAGTTTGAGGTTGCAGTGAGCTATGATGGCACCACTGTACTCTAGCCTGGGCAACAAAGGGAGACCCCATATCTAAAAAAAGGAGGGGGAGAAAATTTTAAAACCTCCTGAATTGGGAGGCAATTTGTCAACATAGACCAAAGGCTTAAAGAAATGTACATGCCCTGAAACTCAGTGATTCAATTTCTAGGAACTGACACTAAAGGGTAATAAAAATATACTAAAATATTTATGCATAAGGACAGTCACAACCTTTGTGTACTAATGAATAATTATAAATAGCTTAAACACTACATGTAGAAAATTGCTTTATTAAATGAAACTTAAACAGAATCTCATACACCAATAAAAATCATACTGTAGAAAAAGTATTTTTGAGGGAAAGGCCTTCAAAATATGTTACATAAAAAAGTAAGCTACACTTCAGATTTACAGGTGAATTCAATTTTATGGGAAAAGACTAGAAGGATATTTCTCAAAATGTTAACAGAGGCTCCTCAGTGGTAATGAGTGACTAACTTTATTCATTGTGCTTTTCTGTATTTTCCTGTTTAAAAAAAAAAAACATAAAAAATCATGGCATAGACATTTGATAAATATCAGCTTAATATTTTATATACATGTTTAAACAACGATTCTTTCTTTAAAACTTTCTAAGTATAAAAAGCTGGGAGGTTCACCCCTTCTCATAAAAAAAAAAAAAAAATTAGTAAAACACTTGACTCTTCCTTCTCAGTTCTGAAGTTATTCCAGTGTCTTAGTGTTCACTGGATAAACTAGATGATATATGCAACACACACTGCCTCAAAGCAAGTGACTATAATGTAAGTAAGCAAATCCATGTTGTAGAGGGAGATGAATCAATACTATTTATCAGTAAGGAATGTTTTGTTTCTTATAAACTGTAGTTCTACTACCTAAGTCTTTTAAAAAGTGGCTCTTTGTTAACGTGGACTTTTCTAGTTACAGAAAACTGCTGATACCTTTGTTGGTATTTTCCGATGCAGTCTTCAACAAGGTTAGAATGTCCAGATTGTCACCAATTCTTGCATAGTAAGAACTATCATGGCCAAGCGCATCCAGCAAGCTTATATCAGCACCATTTTTAATTAAGACTTCTACTGCATCTCTGCAACCATATTCGCAACCTAGCATGAGGGCAGTTCTAAATGGAAAAATGGAAGAGCAAAAGACTGAGAAAACTCCAAGGAAATAATGCAGAAATATTCTGCCAGAGGCTCCCTTCGTAAAGAATAGACAGTACTTTTAAGAAGTCAAGCCTGTTACAAATATAGATTTTACTTTATATTTTAAACTCATTGCATTTATAAAAACATTTGCTTTGTATCTTACTTTGCAAAGCTAAAATTTTCTATGTCCTTATGTCCTTTAATTACTTCTCCTACCAAACCAATCTTTTTTTTTTTTTTGAGGCGGAGTCTCACTCTGTCGCCCAGGCTGGAGTACAGTGGCACGATCTCGGTTCACTGCAAGCTCCACCTCCCAGGCTTACACCATTCCCCTGCCTCAGCCTCCAGAGTAACTGGGACTACAGGCGCCTGCTACCACGCCTGGCTAATTTTTTGTATTTTCAGTAGAGACGGGGTTTCACCGTGTTAGCCAGGATGGTCTCGATCTCCAGAACTCATGAACCGCTGGCCTCGGCCTCCCAAAGTGCTGGAATTACAGGCGTGAGCCACCGCGCCCGGCCCAAACCAACCTCATTTATTCCACTTCTTCAATGTCCTACAGGTAAATAATCACCACAAAAATTTTCCACAACTGATACTGTCACTCCATGTGTTCAAAACCCAGCTTTTCTAGTCCCTTCATGAACTGAACCACATCATGCAAACCTCCCTTAAGAATCCCTTCTCCTCCAAGAGAAGTATCAGATTCCATCCCTGATGTTCCTGCTTAGAAGAACCTTGATTCTTCTACCTGGAGACCTTCACATCTTCAGATTACAACTAACCCCATGCAACATGGATCACTGCTTTATTCTGCTGCAATAGAAACACTGGCACTCAAACATCTCACAGTACATCAGCAAATACTAATCATGCAACAAAATAATTGTCATGAAAATCTAGAACGACACTAGAAATTATTTTGTCTAATCCTCTATATTTTAGGGTTGAGCTAACCAACACGTAATGAAATGAAATGACATATCCTATATCTAACTCTGTCTTCAATTGTGAACATTGGATCTCTTAAGGAAACTGACTCTTGCCTTTTCTCTGTTATGTATGCTGTGTTTCTCATATTCCAGCCTTGTCCCCCAACTCCCCTGTAGTTGCTGATAAGAAATTCTGTACAAAACCGGCATTAACAAAGTTTTGTTATTTAAAAAATGCTACATATAAAACAGGAAAAAAAGAAACCTTGAATATACAGTATTAGAAACTAAGGTTATAAATTATGCTGAAAATCATCTGCTATTTAGTCTATACAATATACACTGCCCTGCCTCACTGGCCTTTTGTGAATGCCCAATGAAAAAACATAGATAAAGTGCTTTGAAAAATATAAGAGCTATAAAAAATACAAAGCATTGTATGTAGATCAACCAGATTCTCTCTCTTTGATCCTAAATTTTAATTTAATTAATTAATTTTTTTTTTTTTGAGACACAGTCTTGCTCTGTTGCCAGTGCAGTGGCATGATCTCAGCTCACTGCAACCTACGCCTCCTGAGTTCAAGTAATTCTCCTGCCTCAGCCTCCCGAGTAGCTGGGATTACAGGCACACACCACCACACCTGGCTAATTTTTGTATTTTTGGTAGAGATGTGGTTTTGCCATGTTAAAATCCAATTTTCTTCATCATGCTTGGAATCAGATGATAGTATCCACAAGAAGAAAGTAATATTAAAAAGCCACTTTCTTAATCACATCATTTAATTGCTTAAGAATTACCTCTTTTGAGATGTGTGAAGAAAACAATTACAGCTATAAAATCTGACAACTAAAGACTATTTTTTATACTTTTATACTTCTAATAAACTACAAACAAAAGAATACATGTTTGTAAGAATAAAATTAAATCAACAGAAACCAAAAAGTTTACTAGTAACTCACTACAAAAATCCCAGAAATTTTAGTTTAATTTATTGTAATATTTGAATTAAATGGAAGGGGTGTATTTCAGATACTTTGTGACCATAAACATCAGAATTGTAATACAGCAAGCACCATGATACACTAGACCTACAGACAGAGATAGGGAGAATTCTGGATAGAAATTATTAGAGCACACCAACTAAAATAGTATCAAATACAGAAGCAAAAATAAAGCAAGGGACCTCTGCAGTACAGAAATGGACAGGTTCAGAGGAGATGGCACTGTACCCTGGCAGAGTAAGGAGAGAAAACACCTTGAGAAAATCTATACTGAAACATGTCAAGTTCCAGAACACTCAAGAACCACTTTACTCAAAGGATTCACTAATGAAGAAGTAACTATAGATGTACTTTTTAAATTCTTCTCCTATGTATCTTACTTGCACCCATTTCATTAAAGAGTTTTTTAAGCTTAAAACACCTAGGATAAAATTCCTCTTTCCTTCAGTTCTTTGAGCCAAACATAAGGCCTAATCACTGCTTTTATTCACATTTACCCTGTCATCTTCCTCTATTTCCCTCTCCTCCTTCTTTCTTCGGCAGACTCTGAAGAAAACTGACAAGTAGATGTTAATTCCAAGGAAAAGCAAGCCAGGGAAGGGGAGAACCCAGGGGAAAGAAAGGCCAAGTTGGAGAACAGAGCTGCTGCTTTGACTTGGCCTTTCCATCCCTGTGTATCCAGCTGGTATCTGGGAGCCATGATAAAAGAATTACCTGTTTTGTTTGTCTCTGGAATTAACATCCGCTCCTCTATCTATCAGCAGTTGACATATTGTTGGCCTACTCATCTGAGTAGCCAGAACAAGTGGTGTCCGCCCGTCCTAAGCAAGAGGAAAAATAAAACAGCATTAAGACAACAGATCTCCCAAAATGTAGAAGTTAGAATACATTAGTTGAAATGAGAATAAACGTCATAGACTAACTTACTACATCTTTGGCATTCACAGAGGCCCCATGGTCACAAAGCAGCTGTATGCTAGAAGGACAATCTGCCATTGCTTTAAGGAACAAAAGAAAAAGACAAATGGTGAACATCTGTTGGTAAGACACATGGTGTTTTTCTAGGTCCATATAAGGAATAAGTTCTTCAGTTTTTAAACTACCAAGCTTCACATCCTTCACTCTTAGTTTAGCATTATAAGCATCAATTTTTCATCTGAAAATGGATTAGACAAGATAATATTATAAATTGTCTACAGTTTATTAGGACCAAGGAATAATGTCAACCTTGGAGAAGATAAGAACACACTACTATTCTAAGGATAAGCACAGATAATAAAAATCAAAGTTAAATTTTGTACTTACAGTATATTTTTAAACATGGCTATAACTGACTTGATCCTTGAAGTGTTGGCTCAGTTTTTTTAAAGAATCATATCCGTTTTTTATAGAACAGTCACAGTAAGTAAAGTATGAATCATACAATCCATATTTCTCATAAAAGCAGAGATTGCAATGTCCACCTTTATGCAAAGTAAGATCATTTTGCTAATAATTATAAAATCACATTATGTTTCTTTGACTAACACTATAGTTCATATTTATATTAGGAAAACTTATTGTTAAATTCATAAAATAGGATTATGTTTACAATCCCCACAAATTTTTTAAGGCTTATGAGTTGACATAAATTATAAGCACAAAAAGTACTGACAAAGTGAGCATTTCTTTTTTTTTTTTTTTTTGGTGAAATAACAGAATTAAACCAAACTTAAGAAAATCAAGTAAATTTTCACTTTTCGTCTCTAATCCAGCAAATCTTTATATAAAATGTATAATCAGCTTTAAGAAAAAGATAAACTGAACTTGAATACATTAATTCAGAAACTGTAAAATTAGCGACCCTTTAGGTCCAATTATAAATGAGAATTTAAAAATGTAAAGCATAATAAATTCCAGAGTTTACAGATTACTAGACCATGAAGAACCACTTAAAACCAAAAAGAGAAAATGGTATATACCACCCAGAAATCCTAGACTTTGAGCTAGACGAAGTAAATGAGTTGGTTTATACATCCTCTTCTTTGGGAGTATGTGGGAAGTAGGGGCTTTGGAGATATTTGGAAGGCCAGAGGGTTGAACTGTAGCAGAAAATGCAATATTTTACCAAAATTTGTTCTCCTCTTCTTCTACTATAGAGTAGGTGGAATATGACTAGTCACCTAGAGAGTTTATTTCTGAGCCTCCTTTGCAGATAAATATAGCCAATTGATTTTGCTCCTATCAGTAGAATATGAATGGAGAATAATCTACTACTTTCAAATCTGAGCTCTAGACTTCGAGCATGTATTCCACTAGGCTCTCTCCTCCTTCCTGCTAGCTAGAATACGGCTATGACCACAACTCTGCTTCAACGTTGTAGTTAAGGAAGATACCCAGAGGTAAGTAGAGAAACAAGATACAAAGAATTCAGTTTTAAAATGACCATGAGTGACCTGTCAATATATATCACTCAACAATTTTTTTAATAAGCATCTGATATTAGAGTTCTTTTGTTATAGCAACTTAGTTTCCATCCTAGCTAAAGCATCTAACTAATAAATATTAAGATTTCAATTGGTCAAGTTGTACCAGTTTTTAAAGCAGGGATAATAAAATACATAGTTAACTCACAGGGGTCACTGTGAGGCTCAAATGATAATGGAAAAATGCTTTGCAAATACAGTAATACCCTTCTATATTAAAAAAAGAAATGTACTGTGTGAGAAATTATCATACAAACACATAAAATACAAAAAGTAAAATTTTTTTAAAATAAGGTATAAAATTTTGAAGGAAATTTGAAGTATAATATGCCTTCAGTGCAGACCACCTTAATCTACTGCATATATTCCATATATATGAAAAGAGAAAGTAGACTGTTTTTTTCCCTGGCCTTATAGTTAAATGTAGGAATATCAGACTTAGCAAGAGGTCAGGCTATCTTACATTCCAAAAATACCTAAATATATAACTTTTTTCAAAGTACTTTCTTTAAGACACCTAAAGAATAATGCAAATAAATTTAGACACACAAGTATAATTAATAAAATCTCTAAAAATTATCAGTATAAATCTCTTTTAAAATATAGCGCATTACAGTGATATGAAATTCAGCATTGACATCTCTAAAGGAAAACAACTATCACCATTAATTAAGAAATTATTATGTGCCAGGCACTACTTATGATTTGATTATACTTATTAATACTACTTATTGCAGGAGTATTATTAACTTCATTTTGCAAATGAGAAAAAAGAGGTTCAGACATGTTAATTAGGTAAACATAGTTTAAGGAAAGTCTTCTTCCCATTTCTCCAGTTCCCAAAGATATGAAACACACACACACACATTCTCTGTTTCTCTCTCTCTCTCTCTCTCTCTCACAAACACACACACACACACAGCTTGGAGCTCCTTGTAAGCAGGATTACAGTTTATCTACCTTTGTACCTTTAGTATCTAGCAAACTGACTGGCCTGTAAATATTGACTGAATGAATCTTTTTAAGCTGTATAATCTAATAAATTTCTAATTTGTGCATACGGATTTTTAACACTCTCTGTTTCTCCATGAATTATACAAATATCTATGTGTTAAAACTCTGAAATTAATTCAAATGACTAGAACATTTTAACAAATATTTGTATCCAAGGGAAACCTCTGCTCACCTGCATCGTGAAGTGCAGTTCTTCCCTGCAGGTCTGCATGCTCAGTGGGACAATTGTACTGTTAAAATAAAGAAAATTTAGTAAAGTAGGAGAGTTTTATTTTAAAATTAGATATCCAGACTCAGATGAACAGCTGCTATTTAATCTTAAAATATTCCACTTATCAAAGAAGCTAAAGACTATCAGACAATCCATTAAATATTTTGACATGGAACAAATACAGTAACATTATATAACTAAATTAACAATATTTCACCAAACAGGAAACATATGGTACATTATAACGAATGGTATGAAATACAGGAAAATATGTATTGTTTGGGTTTTTTTCCACTAAGAACTAAAACTTGAGATACTGAATCAGAAAAGCTAGTGAGTTCTGCTATGAAACGTAGTGAATATGTTTTTAAAAATATATGACTGAAATCTTTGATGGGAACTTTAGCCAACTAGTTAGAATTTTGTGGTTACCTGATTAAAAATGTAATAATATTATGTAGTATAAGTTATCTATGTTTGTATAGAAATATACAGATCCTATGTTGTATTACTTTATCTTACATGATAGTCTAGACAACAGAAAATTCCAGCCTTCAGTTATGTCAACAGGAAGGTCAAGCCTTTGTTATTTATTTTTAATACACCGAGTTATGCAATTCACTTCCCTCAAAGTTTTTGCTCTTTATTGTTCACATTCCTTCACAAATAATGGAAAAAAATATGTAAGCTCATAGTCAAAGTTAGTTTACTATTCTCTTTGATCTAAAATTCCAGAAACACATTAAAAATACATCTATGATTTGTAGTCAAAATAATAAAGCTAAAGTATTAACCACTTCCACTACCTGTAGAAGTTTTTGTAGGCACAATGCATGTCCATACTTAGCAGCCAGGTGAAGAGCATTTCTCCCTATAAATAATTTAAGATACATGTGAAGGATTATTTTCTTCATATGTGAATTGAGGAGTTTTATAGAAATATGATTTGTTTTTTCCAAAACTAGTTGACAACATACTTAATCTGTAAGTATACTTTCAGTTTCCAAAGATGTTTCATCTAGTTTGATATTTTAGTAAGAGATGATATACGTACCAAAACAATGAATGTAGAAAGAAAAACTAATTATACAAATCTATAACAAGCAGGAACTTTGTTGTATTCACTACTATGTCCCCAGCATGTAGAACAGTACCTAAAACACAGCAGGTAATTAAATACTGGCACAGAGAAAAGGGAAAGGAGAGAAAGACAATGAGTAAAGAAGACAGATAAAGAAATACCGAGATTTCACATTACATTTCCAAATAGGCAGTGTGGACACTGAAAATTGAGAAAGTTTAGAAGCGTAAGGCATAGAAAGGGTATTCCTTAACTGATTTTCATGCTTTGGCTAAAATTCAAAGTTTATTATGTAATCGTATCTCTGAAAATCAGACAGCTCGTTCAAATATAATTTGTATAAAACGTGCATTTTAAAGGAAATGCCAAAGGGGGTAGGGAGGAGAGTTACCAGGTAATCTGAAAGGTTAATTCTGAATACCAGAAAAGAAACTTGTAGGAAAGTTCTACCTCCAAACACTATTTTTGCTAATTATATTTCTTTATCCAAACACCTCTTGGATGGTGAAAGATATAAGGATTTAACCAGACTATTCCAACTTCTAACATTTAATGCTCTTAATTTCCCTCTAATCTCACAAACTTCTTTTCTTTTCAATTTATCCTTTTAGAGACAAGGTTTCACTCTGTCATGCAGGCTAGTGTGCAGCCTCATAGCTCAGTGCAGCCTCGAATGTCTGGGCTCAAGCAATCCTCACAGCTCAGCCTCCAGAGTAACTGGGACTACAGGCTCATGCCACCATGTGCAGCTAATTTATTTTATTTTGTGTAGAGATAGGGTCTCACAGTATTGCCCAGACTGGTCTTGAACTCCTGGCCTCAAGCAATCCTGCTGCTTCAAGTGCTAGGATTACAAGCATGAGACATCACACCTGGCCACAAACTTCTTAAAATATAATTTGGGGGCCGGACACGGGGGCTCATACCTGTAATCCCAGTACTTTTGAGAGGCCTAGGCAGGTGGATTGCTTGAGCCTGGGAGTTTGAGACCAGCCTGGGCAACATAGTGAAACCCCATCTCTACAAAACACATAAAAATTAGTCAAGTGTGGTGATGTATTCCTGTAGTCCTAGCTACTTAGGAGGTTGAGGGCAGAGGATCACTTAAGTACAGGAGGTCAAGGTTGTAGTAGACATGATCATGCCACCACACTCTAGCCTAAGTGACAAAGCAAAACCCTGTCAGAAAAAAACAAAAATGCCACAATTTGATTTCACAAGTAGACCTTTTTGCTAGAAAAGTAATTTATGTTTTATTCATCTTGGAGGGATAAATAAACTGGCTTTGAACTTTCTGGTCACTTCTGTGTAGCTGACTAACCAGGCTGCAGAACAAAATATAGTGAGTCCAGGTCTTTCAGGTTTTTCAGTAAGTACAGATATAATATATTCAACCACACCCAAACATCCTCTAATTACAAGTCGATCAGATGTGATCATTTCAAATTTCAGTTCACTCCTGTTCATGAACAAGTGTCCTAGAAACATTTCACATTGTGAAAAGTGACTAAAATAACTGTCATTTACATGTGAAGTAAGAGATAGCATGGAGTGGAGATGGTAAGGTTAGGCACAGTGGCAAGAGTACCTGGTGTTCTACAAAATGGTACAGAAACTTGATCACATAAAAATGTCAGGTCAGGACTAAGGAAACACCAAATCTAGCCAGTTGAGATATGGCAGCAAAAAATCAAGGAAACATCAGATCTAAAGCATACCAACATAAATTACAATACAGGTGCATACCTGGTAAGACCTAAGTAACAAATATCTCAAAACTGCACTAATTTGAAATCTGGTCATTTTAAATACACTTATATATTAAACAGCACTTAAGATAATACACATAAAGATGTGTGTTCAAATTTAATTGCTGTAATGTCTGGATTATAACGGACATTACAGCAATTGAGAAAAGACTCTTGTATTCAATAAAGGACAACTCTAGAGACAAACGTAATAAAACATATCCAATGAAAATATAAATAGCAGCAAAAACAAAAGACAGGAAGAGTTAAACATGGTATGTTGGGGTGCAATATATGAAATAATATCTGCTGAGCTTGGGAAAGCATTTGAGCTTGATCTGCAATGAAAGAAGGCAGGCAGAAGTCACTAGATTAGCCACTAGGCAAAATGTCCAGAGCAGAAAGAATACAGGCAAAAACAACAAAGACACTTGTTTGAATTGGAATCAGCATAATAAATAGTCTTAAGAGCTCTGAAAAGGCATGGTTAGTCCAAAATTTCTAAAAATAAATGTTCTTCTACATCAATGGAAAGCATATATAAGCAATAAACACATTTCTTTGTTCACTCAAAGGTAGCAGATAAATTGAATTTGGTCTTCTTAGAATCTGATGTATTCTTAATTAAAGATTTACCTCACTATTTCAATTATGATCTGTCTCCCTCTCCTTCCCTTCCATTTCTAAACACAATGCTGGGTAACAGTGATGTATTTATTTGCCCATACATGGAATCACAGGATAAAAAACTGTAAAAACTAACAAACAAAACCTTTTAGTTCTGAGTCAACTCCTGTATTTAACAGAAACACAAAGTAGAACTGCAAAGAACTAAGCTGTCAACAGTCCCAGAGAAGTGAGAATGTTTATCCTGATAGATAGGAAACTAGCACTCTCATGGAACAAAAGAAATAGTTATATTCAAATACTTAAAGGTCTACCTTTGATGTACAAACTTCTGTTGTAAGATTTTAAAGAACAGACAAAGGTACAAATAAGTGTAAGCAGAAAACTGAGTAAGAAATACATTTTGATTCTCTATAAAAAATGATTTTTTTATAAACATAGCTAGGTACAGAATGGGTTCCTTATGAGGCATAATGGTTAAGAATACAGATTCTGACTGCGACTTAGCTACTGAAGGGCCTTGGGCCAAGTTACTTAACAGCTCAGGGCCTCAGAACCTCTCTGGGTTGATGTGAGGATAAAATGAGTGGGTAAAGTGCTTAGAAGAATAGCTATTAAATGTTATATACACGTCAGCTATTCTCGTTATTATTGTTGTCCTTGATGATAATGCTGTTATGTGGCAGTTAGTTCTCCATCACAAGAAACATCCAACTAAATGCCAAATGACCTCACAATAGAAAGAATTCATTAATCAATAGTATATGAATATAAACTAAATGGTCCCTAATGGTTCTTCAAAATCTGAGATTTTAGGATCCTGTAACACTACTTGGACCTGCACTAGAATTCAGGTCTCCAGCTGCTCATCAATAAAGAAATCCTTTCTCCTAAACTCCCTATACTTGACCTATCCCACAATACCTCAGAAGTAAACTTTTTCTCAACTATTTAAAAACAGAAAATTGAGATGTCTCTCTTTAAATCACATTTAAGTCTGAATAAAAATGTTAGCAGTGGACAATGTTTGTTTTCGCTTTATGTTTTACAATTAACTACGGAGGTAAACATACCTGCAGTGTCGCTGGTTGTAATATCAACTCCATGTATAAGGATGGCATTTAAACACTCAAGATTCCCCTTTGAGGCCACAACATGGAAGCTAAACAACAACAACAAAAATTTGTTATGCTAAGGAAATGACCAAAGGTCACCTTAAATGTTACATTAATGTCACCCTTTATTCAACACACACACACACACACACACAAAAACACACAAACACACACGTTTTAAAGGCTACATTAGAACACCAATATATTTAATTAAAATTTAAAAAAGACACCTATCCTATTTACATAAGCAGCCAATACTTTCTAAAAATATCTGCTTAGAACCAATGAAATACACGAATGTGCAAAAGCCTTAATAAGAGAAAGTTTACACTATAATATCATTAACTCTAAAGTTTATAGCAAAAGCACTGCTGGTTGGATCTTAATAAATGCACTGAAAATGTTCTATCAGATTATTTTATTTAATTTCAAATAGTTTCATTATTTTATTTAGTTTAGCAGAATGCTGAGGCCAAAGACAGATCCAAACACTTATCTCTTCTTTTTAGAATTATCAAACTAAACCTAAGAAAAGTCTTCAAAACAACAAGCTAAACTACCCTTAAAATCACAAAAGAATCAGCGCCTTCCTCCCAAACATTACCAACTAATTACCAACTACCAGTTAATTCTTCCTTCTGTTCAAACGCCTGGGCTTGTATGACTGGCTTAAGTTTCACATGAACGGGAATAATTGAGTAAGTTTCCTAATAAGGCAAGTTAAAGTTAAAAAACTAACTTTAAGCTATCAAGTATTCAAAATGCTAGGTAACAATATTTCATTATTTATTTGATCATCTAATATTTTATTAATCAACAAACACAGAAATATTTTGTGTGCAGTGAGAACTGACATTCTGTGAATCTATGAATTATGCTGAGTTTAACAAAAAGAACTGCCACTGACATTGAATATTACTCTGCAAATCCAAACTGGTAAACACAATAGTTGTTGGCAAAGGATGTTGAACACAAGTAGAAATAGAACTGAGGCCTTAAGTAAGTGCAATAACCATTCTAAAGATGCCAGGAAACAAAAAATGTGAAAGTGCTCAGCAGGTGCCAGGATACAGATACACTGTTGAAGCCCACTCTCAGCAGAGGTCTTCCCTGACCACACACCATTAAAATTGTTTACATTTCCCCATTCACCAAAATGTTAGTACTCCTAGTTCCCCAATGCCTGCCTTTATTATTCTATATAGGATTTAATATTTTGTAATAGAATAAATTCATTACTTTCTTTATAGTCTATCAATCTCTTCCCGCTCAACTCAATGAAAGCAGGGATTTTTGTCTAGTTTTGCTTCCTATTACATCCCCCAAACCAGTAACAGTGCCAGTCAAATGACAAACCCTCAAATATTTGAATAACTGCATGCTTGGAGACAAAATCTGATGATAGCTTACAAATTCATTTCCAGATATTACAAGACTCAGTCTTGCGAAGCTATTAGTATTACGATGGATATAAATGCAAACTATAGACCAAGCACTACCAAGTAAAGCAGGTTTGTGTACAATCTGAATTAGAAAGATGTTTCTGGTAAAAGGAATATAGTGGTCTTAAGAATCAGGTAAGTTCTCCTTCTACTAAATTAAATCGCTGTAAGGCTGAGTATCTCCGCCTTATAATCCCTCTGCCACAATGAAACTGGGAATTATACTATGCAATGCACCGTAAGAACCTTTTGAAGAATGCTAATTTCCTTTAGCAAAGGTAGTCTCCCAACAATCTTAGAGATATCATTGTTTTGTTGTTTGCTTGTTTTCATTTCTTAGATCACAAAACATGGAAGACCTCTTTCTTCAAAAGAGATCCACATTATAATGATGATGTCAAAAGGTCAGAAATCACAACAAATCTACAATGCATTAGTAATGCTGATGTGCTATAAATAGATGTGCTTTGGAAAGAAAATATATCAATCATTAAAACATATGCAAAGAATTGTATAGGAAATTTGAAAAATTGCTTTATAAAAATACTGTTTTGCAATTTAAAAAGCAACTCTGTTTTTTTCTTTTAAAAACAAGACATGGACTTCTTCTATAACAAGAGATATATGTAACTTGGACAAACGTTACTACTGAGGACAACTAGAAAAGCTGCAAAAAATATGAGACATATGCTTAAAGGTGTCAGTGAGCTAACAAAATAGTAAAAAGTTACTAGGCCAGGATGCAAGGTAGGACGAAGGCCCAGAAAAGTGAACTTAGTATTTGAGGTCACTTTTTCCCTGGGAACATTTGCTGATTCCAAAGTACTGAACAGCACTTTGACAGCCTTAACGAAATGGGGAGATACAAACTGGAGTCCACTGCTCTCCAAGTAGCAGTGGAATCCTTGGTGAACCTTCCCCATCTTGGATTGGGCCGTCGAAGGGCTGTACCTTAGGAGAGAGTCAAACAGGAAGAAAACAGATCCTTGCAGTAACTATGGCTAGGCTTCAAGTATTTCATTTTTGAAACCAAATTAAGCTCAAGAAGTACATGTTCTTTTGTCTTAAATTTAGAAATTTCAAAATTAAAAACAATCATTTGAAACAAATTGTTTTTGTAAATACAGAAAATATATTTGTAACATGTCCCACACTTGACTAAATACAACATGCTTTAATTAAGAATACAGTTTGCGTGTGAGTTTAAAAAAAGGGAAATACTTAATTCTACAAATGCTAGAAAGAATTCTACTCTCGGCCTGGTGCAGTGGCTCACGTCTGTAATCCCAGCACTTTGGGAGGCCAAGGTGGGCAGATCACCTGAGGTCAGGAGTTCAAGACCAGCCTGACCAATACGAAGAAACCCTGTCTCTGCTAAAAATACAAAATTAGTCAGGGGTGGTGGTGCATTCCTGTAATCCCAGCTACTCGGGAGGCTGAGGCAGGAGAATCAATTGAACCCGGGAGGCAGAGGTTGCGGTGAGCCGAGATCGCGCCATAGCACTCCAGCCTGGGCAACAAGAGCAAAACTCCATCTCAGAAAAATAAAAAATAAATAAAAAATTTAAAAAATTCTACTCTCTACAATGAAAACTTCAAGACCAACACTCCTCAAATATTTCAAAAACTAAAGTTCACAGTTCATAAAATTACACCATTATAACTGACTATTTAATGCCACTCAAAATTGAACCTTATATCAAAAACTCCAAACAAAAACTCAAGCCACCATTCACTCAAAACATTCAAAGTATGAATGGGTAGAATTGATTTCAGTGATGTAGGTTTCACTGAAAAGTTTCATCCCAAAAAAGATTCCCTTTATCTTTTATCATCTTAGCATTTGAGAAAAAAGAAACATGAAAAGCAATGTCACTTTTGGATATTAAATTTTCACAATTTATACTGTGAGCCCTATAAATAGCTTAAAATTCAGTAATGGGGCAAGATTCAAAATAACCAATGTTTCCATAACTATCAAACTGCTACTTGATAAAAGTGAAACATTATGAACTTGAAACTTTTCCAACTTTATTGCTCTTAAAAACTACTTAATTTATAGTCCTGTTTTGTTATCTTTACTATATTTAATATCTAAGCATTCCAAGGCAGTGACCCACATCACACATTAACTATTCACTTCCTAATATTCATTTCTATATTTAGTATCTGGTTTCCAGTTATAATATTCTGAATAAATTCATGCAAGTACAAGACTGAGAAGAATTTTTAGGAAATGAGACTTTTCACCTCTAACTTTGGAAGAGTTCCCAGATAAGGTTTTAAATGCTATAAGTATAGAGGGTCATAACAGACACCAGATCTACCCTTTAACCCAACTGCTCCCCACCCACAACAAGAAAGGAAATAATGAAGATTTGAGACGAGGGGGAGAAGACAGACACATGGTTCATAAGCATATATACAAGCCAGCAGTTCCCCTCAGTAACAAAAAAACAAAAGGGTGGGATTATTACCTGTATCTCCCTAACCCACACTAGTTATTCTGCCTCCTTTCTGCTCTAAGCATTCTCATTTAAGTGAATTATCCAAGTATAAAAATGGGCTGGGGGTTGGGAGAAAAGAGTGTAATTTACAGAACTCTTCAAAGACACAAAGCTTGGGTTCACATTCCAGCTCTGTGACTTTACCTGAAATGAGACCAAATTATTTAACCTCCGTAAACTTTTTCCCACTTCTTTTATCAGGCTGCTTCAAAGAGCAAATATGATAAGGAATACAAAAAGGCTTATAATGAAAATGCACCAAATAACCATAGGCTGTGGTTTGCCACCGGGTCTAAACAATTCTAGACCACTGGATAGTATTCTGGTGTTCTCTCTCTAGACTGGAAATCTTTTAAATTGAGAACAATTATTAGTTTGAAAGATTTTATAGTGCAGGTTTTGGCAGAATTTCTTAATAAGTTGATAACTACAATTCACAAGTTTCATTTGTATCCCAAGACAATTCCCTTCAGACACGTTTTTATCATCAATAATACTTACGCAGATCTGCCTTCCACATCTAGTTTGCCTGGATTGACCCCCTTTTTAGCAAGGATTGAGGACACTTTTTCTACATCCCCCCTTTCGGCTGCTTTCATCAATCGGTCATCATATTTATTCCAATCTGCTGCATGCTACAAAAATGAAAAAAAAAAAAGTAAATATGGCATACTACATTAGTTAAGATTTCCTAAAGAAAGGAAAAAAAAGAGAAAAGAAAGCAGTACTGCATAATACATAACTTATTTTCCAATTGCATTCCAAATTTCCTTCTCCCTTCTGTGCTAACTTCATTAGGAGAGCACAGTTATAAAATCTGTGTATCTTAAACAAGATATACAAGACACAAGATATACAAGAAACATTTAAAATTATACTTTTGAGGGAAAGCATGTTTCTTTTGTTCTCTGCCCAGTTCTCTTTGCCTTTGAGGCAAAAAAGAAAATCAGTAACTACTGAACACCTACCCTGTACCAGGCACTAAGGTCCCAATCAACCCTAGTAAACTAAAATTATCATCTCCATTTAGCAGATAAGAAAAGTCAAGGCCCCAGAGACAGTAAATGTCTTAAGTGTTCAAGCCCGACCATGACTTTTATAGTTCCAAAATCAGTGTAGTTTTCCCACACCCTTTCAGATTTCAAATCACACTTTCAGATTTGGCTCTGGTAAATCTCCTAGGACTCTTAGATGCAGTGGAATTCTACATACATTTTAAGAAACTACCCCCCCCAACACAGACATTTATTTAAAAAGTACTGTTGGAAATATATTTATGGAGGCAAATTAAATATACACACACATATTCTATACAGAAAGCAATTCATTATGTTTATATATTAGAATAAAATAAAACTTTTACATAGAAAAAGCTAAAAATGACAGACTCTAAAGTATTAACTGCTTAACATCTGAAAATACTAAGATCACAGCTTACTTTCATTTTCTCCCTTTTTACATTCCATATGTATTGTTTTTATAAAAAATAGATTTTTAATTTTAATAAAAATTCTGTGTATGTGTATTTAGAAGATTAAAGGTGAGGGTTTTAAGGAGGATGTCTCATATAACATACATTTTAATCATATCAAGGTTATCTCTAACTTTGATAAGCAAAAATACATTCAAGGTATTCTGAAGCCAATAACCTAGATCTTTTCTCAATAAGCATAAATGTCAGAACATAGAACTAAAATACATGTTAAACAGTTGATATCTTAGCCTTTTAAAATATTATACCAATTTACTAGTAAATTCTGTGCTAAATCTAGTATTATTTCTAGAACAAAAAAAGATCTGGGTATTTTTCACTTAACTTACAAAACAAATCCTATGGCCACAAATACCCTAACAAATCTCTGAGAAAAAAACTGAATCACCTGTATATCCTCTAAATGTTTGATCAATATGATAATTTTATATCTACTATTCCCTATAAACCAAAAAAGAAAAGTAAAAAAAATCACCATCACTAATTTTCTTGTTAAACAAGTAATGTAAAATTAAATACTTGATGTAGAGAATGATTATGAAAAAAGACAAATACATTAAAAGTTTAACTTACTCCTGTAATTTAATATTTTAATGGAACCTGGTTCAAGTACCTACACAGATTTTAGAATTGTCTCTAAATTAGTTAAATTTGGTGATGAACCCCCTTCCTCCTAACTTCAAAAGTTTAAACTGCCAACTTATAGAATAACCCTACCTATGGGCTCCATATCTAAGCTACATTTTACGTATCACCTTTCTTAAGCTTTAAAACAAAAACAAAACAGTTTATTGACTCCAATTTGGGGAGTGGTAGTGAACATAAGCTTACAAGACATTGTATTTTCAAATGTCTAAAGGATTAAATCACACTTAACACACAAATGCTTGTTCTAGATTTGATTAGTCTACCCTTACAATTAAAATAATCTCAAGTTTATTTCCAAGTAAACTTGCTGGTGGAAAAAAGAGCCATTTAAATCACCAAAAAGTTGTAAAAATTCAAAAATAAGGCTTTCTTTAAAGATAATTAAATGTGATTAAAGTCTCACATTATCATATGACTTTCAGTTCTATACCAAGTACCATTTTCAGCTGCGATTCACTGTCAGTTAACAGTAACACTGTACAATTATTAAGATTTTATCATGTGCTTTTTAAACCCAGAGAAAGAAAGAACTTTTGTTTTCTATTACTAACCCCAATCTGCTAATCAACTAAATCAAGAAGAAAAAAATAAAGCAAACCAAATTAATAAAACAGTAGTGCATTTTAAAAGAACACAGTTCAGAAAGCCTAACCAAGAATCTTTTGTTACACTAGACTACTGGGATACCTACTCTGTTCTTAGGAGCACAAGAAAACCAACAGTTCATCATAGACAGGATTTAGTTTCTTGTTGCTAATGGCAAACTACTTTGCATTAAGTTACAAATCTCTGTAAGCTCACAAAGCAAACCCTCAGACAAACTCCTGACAAGTGACTCAGTCCCTCACATACTGTGCTACACTTAGCTTGGATCTCTAACGATATTTTCTTCGTCTTCAGGATCCTTCTCCGCCTTCATAACGCTTGAATATTATCTTCCTTGCAATGCAGCACTTGATTAAGAGCAGCCCCAAGTCAGGTACAGTAACTGTCTATTTCTTATTTTTTAGAAGCTAGCTATCTTTCAAAGTTGTCCCTTTGAGGGACCCCACTGGAAAACTTGAACAGCGCTCTGCATCCTGCTGCCTCAACACTGCAACACAGACGCTGCAGTGCATGATAAAACTGTCCACATCCGAATTGTCCAGTAAACAGTGTGGAGCCTGTCTCCCATTGGTTGAGTTCTATTTTAGATTCCATAGGACTTGACAGCTGAATGATAGAAAGGAGCAGCTAAGAATATATTGTAAATGCATGCTTTTCCTCTGAGTAATAAATTTCAGGTCTACTGGGGAAAATGACTCAAACATATTGTAAAACATGCTTATTATATAAAAACAAATTGTGTGACATAATGACAACATTTTAAGAGACAAATTTGGTTATTCCTCAGAACAATATTTAAAACCAGTTTCAGTCTTAGGATCATCTAACATGAAGTTATAATAGCCCTGACAAACTCTATTTTAAGCAAACGTGTCACATTTTAATTTAAGGAAACACACAGTAACACTTTCAAATTTTCTCCATTTTATTTTGTACCCCTATCAGTCTCATTCTGCATACAACCAGGTTTCAACTTACAACTGCTGCCAGTCTGTCTCCCAGCATGTTAAATGAGAAGAGCCAGAGGCACTGCCAAAACATTAAATAGAATACATCATGATGAATACTTTTCAACAAATTTTAAATTTAACTCAGTACTTTTAATTTCCAAGTTTAGCACCCTGCCTAATATGACAAGTAAATATTTTATCAGTGGAAAGTCAAATTACCTGGATTCACTGGATTTAAAAAAAAAAAAAAACTGGTTAAACACTAAAGGAGGCAAATACACATTAGACAACGAGCTAGACTATTAAAAAAAATCTCCATTTGGGGACAAACCAGGTAACTTCCCTGCATTCTCCATGATAGCATACTTGTATCAACATTTCTTACATTACCAAGGCCAGTGCAAGTTCAGGGTGGTTTTTTTGTGGTTGTTAGTGGTGGTGTTTTTTGTTTTTTGGTTTTTTTTAAACCATGTTCTCATTACCACAATAGCATGAGAATAATTTACACTTCCTCTAAAAAGACACATTTGGGAAAATTGTTTCATGGGAATGCAAAACATTCCAACACAAGTGTTTACAGGAAGGAGGTAGCTGCTATATTATAGATCATGCTGCCAGTTAAAAATTCTGCTATGTACTTCCACAAGAAATTCGTTTCCTACTAAATTTAAAACATTAGGCCCATATTCTAATTATAAAATATATAAGGGTCATATACCATATCTTATTTTTGAAACAATGATTATTTTTTTCCCCCAAACCACAAGATATCACAATGGATTCATTTGGCTAAACCCAGAGACTCCGCCCAGTCTGTGTCACGTTCTTCTGAGGAAATCTGTGATAGAACTCAGACCCTGTCCTTTGGGTAACAAAGCAAGCACATTCTTTCTAGAAATAGGACAGCAAAGGCAAAGGAAGATGGAAAACAGGAACAAATAACTAAAGCCATATAAGGAGCTGCCCACACTCAGGAGATAGAATTGTGTGTCCTAGTATTATGGACGTCCTGAGCTGTCTGCCACCTCCCTAGCCTTTGTGGCATAATCTTCTGTGCCTGCTCTCACACCTTCCTTCATAGCTATTTCCCAAGAGCCCTAGGCAAATTCCCACCTTTGCTGTCCCCTGTACCTATAAGGTTCTTCCCTCCCCTACTTTCAGGTTCTTCTCCAATGTTACTTCCTTAGAGAGGGCTTCTCAGACCTCTGCATCTAAACGGCCCCCGGTCCCACTCTACCCCACCACTCTTTATCCTTGTGCCCTGTTTTACTTTTCTGCAGGGAGCTCATCAGTATCTGCCATTATATCAGATGTCTATCTGTTTATTAGTGTACTGTCTGTCTCCTCAGCTCCCCTCTAATTTGACTATATCTAAGGTTTCTTCTGTGTCTGGTTTGAAACTGTAAAACTAATTTTTCAATAAGTAATTTGGTAGCCAGTCACTAGATTCTCACCCATCTTAAGGACCAGAATCCACATCTGCTTCATGAATCCTCTTTCCTCTTGGACTAAATTGTTAAATAGGCTAGATCTGTAACACACATTTACCAGCAACATTGTTTCCCAGTAAACTATCCACATTCAGATAACAAATATCTATTGACCTGAGGTGAGGGCAGTTAGCCCATGAGTGGTTCAGCTGATTGCAACTGAGCAAACAGATCCTACTGCTCATGGTCAAGAAAAGATCCTTCTTCACACTTACTCCTGCACATCCCACACTGCAAGTCTTTCTTTACCAGTCTACAAATCCCACTGAACTCCTCAAAAAGCATTTTAGTTAAAACACACATTCTTCAGAATTTTGCCTGACTCAAAAGTCAGGCAAACCTGGGTTCAGAGTCCAGCTCTGCTACCTACCTGCTGTATACCAGTGGGATAATTTATTTACACTTTCTAGGCATCAGTGCCCTTAACTACGAAGCAAGGATAACAATAGAGAACCTATATGTGTAAAATCAAATAGCTAATAGATATGAATGATCTCAGCACCATGCATGGTAGATGTTTATGCCCAAAAATGGTAGGCACTGGCGATAGTCACAAGTGCTCCAGCTCCTGGTCAGTGTTACTGTTAAAAGAAAAACTTCAGCTGAATTAAATTTAAAGGAGTTTAATTGAGCAATGAACAATTCAGAAATCAGGCAGCCCACAGAATCACAGCAGATTCAGAGAGACCCCAGGGATGCCCTGTGGTCAGAACAAATTTATAGATTAAAAAGGGAAGTGATGTATAGAAATCAGAAGGGAGGTACAGAAATAGCTGGACTGGTTACAGGTTGGTGTTTGTCGTATTTGAATACAGTCTGAACACTCAGCAGTGTATGAGTGGTTGAAGTATGTGGCTGCTGGGATTGGCCAAGACTCAGCTATTGTTACGGGCACATACTCCTAAATTAGGTTTTCAATCTTGCCTACCGATTAAGTTAGATTATAGTTCATCTGCAAGGACTCAAATATAGAAGTACAGAGTCCTTCTCAGGCCATATTTAGTTTGCTTTAACATTACTAATCAGAAAAACACTCTTTAAAAAATTAATAAAGAAGTAGCCAGGTGCAGTGGCTCACATCTGTAATCCCAGAACTTTGAGAGGCCAAGGCAGGCGGATCACCTGAGGTCAGGAGTTCGAGCCCAGCCTGACCAACATGGAGGAACCCCGTCTATACTAAAAATATAAAAGTAGCCAGGCATGGTGGTGCATGCCTGTAATCCTAGCTACTCCAGAGGCTGAGGCAGGGGAATCGCTTGAACACAGGACACGGAGATTGCAGTGAGCTGAGATCACGCCATTGCACCCAAACTTGGGCAACAAGAGCGAAACTCCGTCTCAAAAAAATAAAATACAATACAATAATAAAAATCCAACCAAACCCCTAGAAGTAACAATTTACAAGAAATACAGGGGACAGAGAAATATAATAAACTATATCACAAAGATTGCATCACAGGATGCAATCAGAAAGATCTACCATCGAGTAAACCATGGCTTCTTAAACAAAATACAGCAAGATTAAAAAGACAGAATTTAACCTATAAATTGAAAGTGACTTCAGAAACCTACAAAGCAAACATAAGTCACAGAACTTAAGTACCCTGATTAAACAAACTGTATCTATAAAAATAAAACAATTGAGAAAATACGACTACTGACTGGACATTGGATGGCATTAAAGAAATCTCAGTAAACTGAGATTTCTGATGTGATAATCTTCTAGTTATTTCTGAAAATCCCCATGTTTTAAAAATACATACTGAAATATTTTTAGATCAAATGAATCAAGTAATAAGATGCCTGGTATTTGCTTCAAAAATAATCAAAACAATCAGAGGGCAAACCTAATCTAATAGCACGTTTAAAAGATTATACACCATGATCAAGTGTATAATCTTTATTCCTGGAATGCAAGGACGTTTCAATATATGAAATTCATTGTAATATACCACCTTAACAGAATAAAGGACAAAAATCACAATGATCATATAAGTTGATAAAGAAAAAGCATTTGACAAGACTCAACATCCTTTCATGATAAAAATACCCAAAAAACTGGGACTAGAAGGAAACTGCCTCAACACAATAAAGACCATATATGAAAAGCCCACTGCTAACATTATACTCAACTATGGAAAACTGAAAGCTTTTCCTCTAAGATTAGGCAGAAGACAAAGATGCTGCTCTGGCCATTTCTATTTAGCATAGAATTGGAAGTCTTACTCAGAGAAATTAGGCAGGAAAAAGAAATAAAAGACATCCAAACCAGAAAGGAAGAAGTTGAAATCATCTCTGTTCTCAAATGACAGGATCTTACTTGTAAAAAAAACTCTAAAGATTACAGATACACACTCATACACACAAACAAAACAAAAACCTGTTAAAATAAATTCAGCAAAGGTGTGAGAAAGAGCACACAAAAACCAGTTGCATTTCTATACAATAACAATGAACAATCCAAAACAAAATTAAACAATTCCATTTACAATAGCATCAAAAATAAAAAAATACTTAGGAATAAGCCTAGTCAATTAGGTGAAAAATTTGTACACTGAAAATGACAAAACATTTTTGAAATTAAAAAGTGACAAATAAATTTAAAGACATCCCAGGTTCACAGGTTTGGAAAACTTAATACCATTAAGATGTCAATACCACCCAAGGCAATCCAGAGATCAGTGCAATCCCTACCAAAATCCCAATGGCATTTTTTACAGAAATAGAAAAATAAATCCTAACATTCATATGGAATCTCAAGGGACCTCAAATAGGCAGTCTTGAAAAGGAAGAAGAATGTTGGAAACCTCATACTTCCTGATTCCAAAGCTTATTATGAAACTATAGTAATCAAAACAGTGTCAAAGTGGCATAAAGTCAGACATATAGAACAGTGGAATAAAGTAAACAGCCCACAGATAAACCCTCATATAACAGTCAAATGATCTTCAACAAGGTGCCAAGAGCACTCAATGGAGAAAGAAAAACCTCCTCAACAGTGTTGGGAAAACTGGATATCCACATGCAAAAGAATAAAGTTGCACCTTTAGCTTACACCAGATGCAAAAAACGACTCAAAATTGATTGAAGACCTAAACATAAGACCCAAAACTGTAAAACTCCTAGAAGAAAACACAGGAGAAAACTTCATAAATTGGATTTGGCAATGATTTCCTGCATGTGACACCAAAAGCTCAGCTACAAAAGCAAAACTAGACCAATGAAACTGTATCAAACTTCTGTGCAGCAAAAGAAACAATCAACACAATAAAAAGGCAACCTACAGAACACACAGAAATATCTGCAAATCATATATCTAATAAGGGGCTAATACATAAATTACATTTTTAAATTACTATGACTCAACAACAACAAAGATTTAAAAATGGGCAAAGGACTTGAATAAAGATTTCTACAAAGATAATATATGAATAGCCAATAAGCATAAGAAGATGTTCAATGTCACTAATCATTAGAGAAAAACAAATCAAAACCACAGTGAGATATAACCTCACACTCAGGAATGCTAACATCCCAAAAAAAGGAATAAGAAAAGAACAAGTGTTAGCAAGAATGTGTAGAAATTAGAACCCTTGTGCACTGTGGGGATTGTAAAATAGTGCAACTACGATGGAACGCATATGGTGATTCCTCAAAAAATTATAAATAGAGCTACCATATGATCCAGCCATCCTACTTCTGGGTATATATCCAAATGAGTTGAAAGCAGGGTCTCCTAGAGATATTTGCATATCCATATTTATAGTAGCATTATTCACAATAGCCAAGAAGTGGAAATAATCCAAATGTCCATTGATGGTTGAATGGATAAACAAAATGTGGCTTATGCATACAATAGACTACTACTGAGCCTTAAAAAGAAGGAAACCCTGTCACATGCTACAACATAGATGAACCTTGAAAACATTATGCTAAATGAAATTAGCGAGTCAAAAAAAGACAAATACTGTAAGATTTACTTACATGAGGTACCTAAAGTTGTCGAATTTACAGAAACAAAAAACAATGGTGGATATCAGGGCTGTGACAGGGGCAGAAATGGGGAGCTGTTGTTTAATGGGTATAGAGTTTCAATATTCCAAGATAACGTTCTAAAGATCAGTTGCATAACAATGTGAACATACTCAACACATGAATTTAAAATGGTTGACAGTAAATGTTTATGTTATGTGTTTTCAGTACAATTAAAAATAATAATAAAAACATAAATGTAATTTCTCAAGACTGTTTTTCTTTTATTTTCTTTTTTTTTGAGACAGAGTTTGTTCTGTCACCCAGGCTGTAGTGCAATGGCACAATACCAGCTCACTGCAACCTGCAACTTCCACCACCCAGGTTCAAGCTATTCTCCTGGTTCAGCGTACCGAGTAACTGGGATTACAGGTGCACACCACCCACACCCGGCTAATATTTTTGTATTTTTAGTAGAGACAGGATTTTGCCACGTTGGCCAGGCTAGTCTTGAACTGCTGACCTCAAATGATCTGCCCACCTCAGCCTCCCAAAGTGCTGGGATTACAGGTGTGAGCCACTATGCCCGGCCAGCCTATTTCATGATTAATACTAACAAATACTAATTTTTTAAAAATCAATCAGGGCTTTGGGAGTATAGATAAAACAAGATTGGCCACAGGTTAATAACTGTTAAAGCTGAGTTATAGGTTCATGGGAGTTCATTATAATAAACTATTCTCTCAACTTCTGTATATTTCATTCACTATTAATAAATTAGCTGATGTATACATATTTAAACTGCAATACATCGTTATCACCAATGCCTTTCACTGAGTCATTAATGTGGCTCCTAAAGCAGCACACCCTTTCCACTCTAATCCTTTAACAAAAGATACCTCTCTGCTTCAAAAGAAAGTATTAACATTTCAACATATCTTAGTGAGTCCACAGTCATATACTTACAAGGTAAGCACCATAATATCAAATGAAAGCCTTCTAAAAGGAAGTAGTAATTTTTTTGAGGGGTACTAATGTTTACCATATATTATAACAAGTAAATTTCTACAGTCAGTTATTATGTTGGTTTGAAAAAGAGACGTTCATCCTATTCAGAATGCAGCAAGCCAAAGTATCTATGGTAAAAGACAAATATAGCTGTTTCTGGAGAACAAACATTTTAACATAAATCAGTTATTTCACTAGGTAGATCTAACTGGATAACTTTAAACTCTACATCAACATAAAAAAATCACTTAAAAGTTTTGACATTGACTCTCATATTAATATCAATTAGAAATTCATAACTTTTCCAGATATATAAAATTTTTAATTTGAAAAGTAATGTATGTTTTGTGTAGAAAGCCTAGAATACATTTAAGTTTATAAATGAAAACCGATATACCCCATAATTCCACCATGCAGAAATAACCATTATTAAAAACTTTACATCTAGACTCTTTTCTGTTAAAAAGTCTAAACATTTCTTTAAGCCTATGAGTCCAATACTGAATATTTATTCAATATTTAAGAAAGTCTCCTAAGAAATTTATATGCAAATAGACTTTAACATATATGCAAATCCATATGCAATATACTGTTTAATGGCTAGTCAACAAATCATAGCTAAA